AGATAGTTGCATGTCACAGCTGCACATCCTTCTAGCTGCTGTATGTGGGACCCGGCCCCAGGATGGACGGAGAAGTGGTGCCTCTATGCGCACCCGGGATCCGAACCCGGGCCACCAGCATTGCAGTGCGCGCACTTAACCACCAAGCCACAGGGCCGGCCCATCCCAGGCTTCTTGTTTTACAGACGAAAAAACTGAGGTGTGGGAAGGGACAGGGTTTATTGACATGTAGTGTGTGCCAGGCAATGGACAGAGCCCTTAGTGCATCTCACTGCTCACTTACACAGCAACACCGCTCCTGGGCGTTGTTAGCCCGCCTTTCAGCTCAGGAGGCAACCTGCGTAATGCCCACACCTGGGACCTGCTGAGGCCATGGCCAGGCCTCATCTGTGGACTCTAAAGCCCGTGTCCATCTTTGGGTCGAGCAGCCAGGCTTAGAGCCTGGGCTCTTGGATGTCTGGCCCCATGAACTTTTTTTTTTTTTTTGGTGAGGAAAATTGTCACTGAGCTAACATCTGTGCCCATCTTCCTCTATTTTTTTGTATATGGGATGCCACCACAGCATGGCTTGATGAGCTGTGCGTAGGTCCATGCCCAGGATCCGAACCCGGGAACCCCAGGCTGCTGAAGCGGAGCACACGAACTTAACCACTACGCTACCGGGCTGGCCCCACCATGAACTTTTTACTGCGACATAAACGCAGTCTGGCCCGTTGTAAGGAGTCCCTTGGTGGCTTGTTCTTACTTGAACCTAAAGAAAACGACCAGCTGGCATCTGTCACAGTTTACATGCTTACTAACGGTTGATTGTCACGCAATCTCCATCATCTACTGCAGCTTAATTATTTAATGATTACTTTCAAGAGACTTGGAGTGAGAGAGGTTTGTTTTTTCCCCCTCTCTCTTTTGATTAATGAATTTTAAACTACAGTAGCTATATTAGTTTGGGATCTTTGGCTCCAAGCAAACAACTGACTCTGGTGGTGGACAAGCAAAATGAGAGATTTTCAGAGGGATCATGGCATGTTCGCAGGTGCCTGGGAGGGTGGAGGACCAGGTGTGGAAACAGCCCAGGCACCTGGAACTCTCCATCTCTCACCTCCAGGCACCTCTGCCAAAATGAGTGCCTCCATCTTGTACTTCAAGACCCCTAATCCCAGTAACAGGGTCTGCGTCCGCGCCCCCTACCAAAATTATACTCAGGAGGGTGGGCCATCCCCCCAAAGGGAATTAGGTGTGTGTTAGCCTCAGCAAGGGCTAACGCTGGATTTCTTTATCTGCCAGAATTTTCTTAATCCAGAATTGGAAATCCAACTCCTCTTTTGTTTAAACTTTTTATTATTGACAATGTCAAGCATATAAAATCAGAATGTACCTTCACTCAGCTCCAAAAATGATCAGTGTTCACTCATATTGTATCTATCCCTCTTCTCCTAATGCCAACTTGGTTTTTTCTTTAATAGTTTTTTTTTTTTGGTGAGGAAGATCGGCCCTGAGCTAACATCTGCCAATCCTCTTCTTTTTTTGCTGAGGAAGACTGGCCCTGGGCTAACATCCGTGCCCATCTTCCTCTACTTTATATGGGACACTGCCACAGCATGGCTTGCCAAGCAGTGCATCGGTGCGCGCCTGGGATCCGAACTGGCGAACCCCAGGACGCCGCAGCGGAGCGCACACACTTAACCGCTTGCACCACCGGGCCGGCCCCTTTAATAGTTTTTTTAAAGTAAAAATTCTGTGCATTGACGTGCTCACATGGATATACCCATAGATACATGCACCCCGTCCACTAGTGAGAGGTAACAATGTTTTATTGATCAGGTTAAGTTTCTGGCTATGATTGGGGTTCTTGGGTTTTCCTAGGATTTAATTCTGATGCAAATATATCTGGAGTAATGCTTTCTTCCATTTTGCTTTTTCTGTCTGGGTTCCAGGGGTTTAAGCCGAGCTCTGGAACGGTCCAGGAACTGAACTTCCGCAGCAGCAGGAATGTGTGGGGTTATTTCAGCGTGGCTGCGACCGGTGGCTTACACGAGTTTGCTGATTCCCAGTTTGGGCACTGCTTCTCCTGGGGAGAGAACCGGGAAGAGGCCATTTCGTCAGTATCTCCCTGCTCCCCTCCTTTGCTCCCCCCACCCTTCCTTCCCACCTCCCCCGCCCCCTTCCCTCCTTCTCTCCTTCCCTCCCTTCCTTCACGAGACTAAAAGTTTAGCCTGCGGCTTCAGACGGATGGAGGTGAATCACAGAGCAGACCCTATTGTAAACACCCTGTGCTGGGGTCCAAGAACCAAGTCTGCCCTCTTCCTGGATTTGAGATCCAAAAGTAAAATGAGCTCACCAAGGCCGTTTGGTCTTGAACTTATTACAGGTCAGATGTGAAGGAGATCAAAAGAATGTTCAAGATGATTCCAAAAGTTTAAATGGTGCTGAGAACTATAGCTTTTTTAAAAAGGTGGGGGGGGGGGCCTCAGAGAAACCCCACATTGACAAAGGGGCCCCCAAGTTCCACAACACCCACATCTTACATTTCTCCTGCCTTGACAAAAGGGTAAAAACCAGTTCACTTTGTAATTAAACATTCTTGTGTGGGTGGATAACCGCCCTTTAGAGAGAAAAATCCCAAAGACATTGTGGACGTTTCATTTGGAAAGCATTAAGATCTGTCTGGCCTGGGGCGCTAAGCCGTGAACTAAATTACGTTCGGTGTTTTTGAGGATCAGGCTTTCTTTGCCTGCTTCAAATAATTAGTTTTAGTCGGTGAAAAATTGAGACACTCAAAGCTTATGGGGGATTGCAGCAAATAAGGATAATGGGAGTGAGAGGGAGGTCAGGAGGCCCGCCCACTCTGAGTGAAGTGGCCTGTGGCTCGTCCCATGCTGTGAATGACAAGTAGCAACTTCAGCAGGATTTAGAGGAAGACATTCCAGCTTTTCTTACTGCTGTTAGTCAGAGTCCAGTAGGGGGCTCAGCTGTCCTGGTTTTCCCGGGACTGAGGGTTTCCCAGGATTTCTCAGTGCTAAAACTGCGAAGGTCCTGAGCCCCCTGGGACAAGTGACTCCAGTGGCTTCACTCTCAGATGCAGGTTCCTGTCCCACAGCTGACTTGCAGTGGCCTATTGGCATCCTCGTTTGACCTCACTACATCTCCATTTTATCACCCCCAAAGTGGGGTTGCTATTGCCCCTTTGCCACACCTGCAGACAGCACGCAGGAACACCGTAACGGGTGTGACAGCTCTCCTCCCAGGAAGAGAGGCGTTCGAATGCCTCCTCTTTCTCTGGTGCGTTTGCCCCAAAACACTCTGTGATTTCATGGGAGTGGAGGTTCCAACTCTTGGGACTGGAGGCCCTGTCTGGGGGAGGCAGCCCCTCTGGGAAATGGGAGGTGGTCATCCGCCGTGCACATGCCGGGTAACGCTGTTAGCCATCCATAGGTGCGGGCTATGCACACTGGGCAGAGCAGTTGCATGGATGGCCAGAGGGCAGCACCAGCTCTGGGACACAGGGAGATCTGAGTAGGTCCGCTGGAGAGAGAGGCAGAGTGATTGGCAGTGGTTGATAATAATTATGACCACAGTGATTAATGATGTTCATCGATCAGTGACTGTGTGCCTTATGTGGATTGTCTGACTTTAATCCTCAAACACCTGCGTGAAGTCACGCGATTCCCCCATTTTCCAGATGAGGAAACCGAGGCCCCGAGCGGTTAAGTCGCTTGCCCAAGATTACTCGACCAGTAAATGCTGGAGCTGAGATCGACACCAGGGCCGTCTGACTCAGGGCCCTCTCTTAACTTCTGTGCTGTTCTGGCTCTCTGAGAACCACGCAGGAACTCTGTTGATGCATATATTAACTTGGGAAACAATCCGTGTGCCTTTCCCCTCAAGGAACATGGTGGTGGCTTTGAAGGAACTGTCCATCCGGGGTGACTTCAGGACCACCGTGGAATATCTCATTAACCTCCTGGAGACTGAGAGCTTCCAGAACAATGACATTGACACTGGGTGGTTGGATCACCTCATCGCTGAGAAAGTGCAGGTGGGGAGTTCCTCTCTGGGTCTCAGAGACCCCCCGACTCCCCTTGGGCTTGGTTGCCGTGGATACTGAAGCACAGAGTCTTTCCTAGGCCGAGAAGCCGGATATCATGCTGGGGGTGGTGTGTGGAGCCTTGAACGTGGCTGACGGGATGTTCAGAACATGCATGACGGATTTCTTACACTCGCTGGAAAGGTGGGGAGCATGGGAAATTCTTTTCCCCTCTTAGGATACGTGTTAGTGGCAAGTGAGGCAGGACACGCTTTGGGTGGGTGCAAATCAGTGACTAGGCAATTAGTGAATTCTCCTACCTGCTTGCCTCCCTGCGATTTCTCAGGTAAACCTGGGCTGCCCTGGAAGAGGTGGGGATGGGATTGTCAAGGCCAAGGCAGCAGTCACTGTACAGTTGTGTGCTCTTTCGTGCTGACTCCTGTAAGGTACATCAAAATACTCGGGTTCAGAGAGAAGCAGGTGGATTTGAGAAGCAAAGCGGGGTATGGGTCACCTCTGCAAATGGTTCTTTCCCAGACCCTCACCTGAATCCGAAGGTGACAGTGAAATGGACCAGCCTGGTAGTGGCCAGGTGCTCACTGTTAGGATGGGCCAGGGTTTCTCAGCCTCAGCACCAGTGACGTTTTGGGCTGGTTCATTTTCTATTGGGGGTGCTGTCCTGTGCATTGTGGGAAGTTAACAGCATCCCTGGCCCCATCCATAGCTTCCTCCTCACTCCTCCCCAACCCCCCCAGGAAGTCATGACATCAGCTATGTCTCCAGACATTGCCAAATGTCCCAGGGGTAGGGGCGCAATCACCCCTAGTTGAGAACCGCTGTGATAGGCAGATGAAACTACCAAAAAGAAGATAAAGGATAATAGTTTTTAGCATTTGGTTATCATGCTTTTGAATGGTAATAGAATCACAATCCGTGTGCTGGTTTCTTTCCTAAGTGGGTGGCAGGATTCCCACATAGGGAATTTTTCCGAGAAAGAGCCATTATGAATTTTGCTTCCTGGAAAGCCCTTTTGAAATTTCACATCCTTCAGCAAGTGCAGTTTCCTTAAGTTCTGAGGAATGTCAGGTTCCTTGGGATTATCCGTGTTCCTTGCCTTTATAATGAGACTTAGCTTTTTCAGTATGGCCAGATGTGTTGGTGCTTAGGCGAGGCAAAGAGCTGGGTGATTTTTTAAATCCAGGAGATGGCTGCAGAGTTCTCAGTCACTCCCAAGGCTGACTGCAGGTCTGTCTTCTCTCTCAGGGGCCAGGTCCTCCCCGCCGATTCCCTGCTGAATACCGTGGATGTGGAATTAATTTATGGAGGCGTTAAGTACGTGCTCAAGGTAAAGGCCCGTGTTTCTCGGATGTCTCCAACACTCTGGAGGCTTGAGGGAGTTTTTTATTTCTGCAGCGAGCCATCCCTGGAGTGGCTTTTCTCATGCTTGGGTCCCAGGACTGCTATGCAGTTCCGAGACCTTGAAACCTGACCACTTTAGGTTTCCGAAGGCACAGCCTTGAGCAATACGCACAAGGCACGATGGAGTGTGTCGTAGTTTCCACTGGCTGCCGTAACAAGATACCACGAACTGGTGGCTTCAAACCACAGAAATTTATTCTCTCACGATTCTGGAGGCCAGAAGTCCAAAATCAAGGTGTTGGCTAGGCTGTGGTCTCTTTGACGGCTCCAGGAAGAGTCTGTTCCATGCTGTCCTAGCTTCTGGTGGCTGTGGGCAGTCCTTGGTGGCTTGTAGATCGTCACTCCAGTCTCTGCCTCCACCTTCATATGGAGGGCTTCTCTGTGTGTGTATCTGTCTTCACTCTGTCTTCCTTCTGTGTCTCTGGATCTCTTCTCCTCTAACAAGAACACCAGTCAGACCGCATTTAGGGATCCACCCTAATCCAGAGTGAACTCATCTTAACTAACTACATCTGCAAAGACCCTATTTCCAAATAAGGTCAGTTTCTGAGGTTCCGGGAAGGGCGTGCATTTTGGGGAACACTATCCGACCCAGTACAGAGCATGAGCAGGACCGTTGCTGAGCTGGCGTAGTGTCTGGGTCCATCATCCAGGGCTGTGAGTCTGGCTTTGTCCTGTGTCTCTGTACCATGAATCAATGTGTGGGTTTCTGGCCTCTTCCTGGTCCCCCTCTGGTGTCCCGGGAGCTCACTCAGGCTTGCTCTCCTCTGTTGGAAGTATCCAGTTATGCTTCCAGAGCTATCTGAGGTCAATTCAACAGAGAGTGTCTGAGATGTGCAGGCACAGGGTGAGGCCCCGGGTCCCAGTCGGAATGACCTGCAGGGGCAGAATGTCCCCAGGAAGCCAAGGCCCCCCTGGTACTTCCTAGCCTCACATTCTGGGGAGGGAAAAGTAGACAGAGTTCGAGTTGCTTCTGAGGCTGAATTTTTATTGTCTTACTTTATTTGTAATATTGCTGAGCACACACTGAACTTTCAGCTTTGGAGATTTCTAGGCTTAGTTCAGCCAAACGAGCGTGTTATCCGTGGAGGCATGCTTAAAATCACTTTGCTCTTGCCCTCGATGCTTCTTGGCTACCTTTGGGGGCCTGGTCCCCCCAACTCGATTTTAAATATGGCACATGCTTGTTGTAGAAAATTCCAAAATTTTAAATGAGCATAAAGCGTCAAAAAACAAAGCCACTGTGCATTGACCCCTGGAGGCAATCCCTGTTAATATTTTATTTTTTTTCCTGATGCATTGATTTGACAAAGTTGAGATCATGGTACAAATACGGTTTTCGTGCTTTGATATTTTTACGGCATAAAGTTTCCCCACGTTACTAACAAGTTTTCTTTAATATCAGTTTCGTGTCTGCAGCACTGTCCAATAGAACTTTCCGTAGGGTTGGAAATGTTCTATATCTGCGCTGTCCAGTATGGGCCACCTGTGGCCACTGAGCACTTGATATGTGGCAGGTGTCACTGAGGAACTGAATTTTACATATTATTGAATTTTAATTTACATTTAAATAGCCACGTGCGGCTAGGGGCTACCATATTTGACAGTGCAGGTATAGAGTATTTCATTGCAAGGTTGTCGGATAGCTAATTTGGTTCTAAGTCTTCTATTACCATAAATAATGTTGCAATAAATATTCCTATATTTATTGCTATCTTTTGTCTCCGGATATGTATTTTATAGTTTGAGGGCTCTTTCTGAGAGAGAAGACACACATTGAACTGAGGGCCAGGTGGGGCTGGTACTTCAGATTGAAATGAAGAGCAGAGGCCAGACCTGGCTGCCTGTGCCTCTCTCCTGTGTCCCAAGTCTCTTGCACGCCCCTGTGCAGAGCCAGGTCTGGGGGGCAGAGCCAGGTCTGGGGGCAGAGCCAAGTCCGTGTCCAGTCTACTGGTGGAGTCACCAGGGCTGTCTCACCCAGAGCGAGACCCTGTCTCCCTGCTGCCCAGGGCAGCCCTGCTTGGGGCTGGTGCTTGGAAACAGGAATCAGAAGGAAGCCCCAGCCTTTGAGGGCACGCAGTGGGTGGGAGATGGCCGGACTGGGACTACCCCTGTGGCCATTGGCCGTTAGCCTGCCCACAGCGCAGGTGTGTACACTGACTCAGGCTCCTCCAGCCCCGCCAGCTGCTCCCTTGGGGTGAGCGAGGGCTGCACTAGAGAGGTGAGGTGTCCACCCTGGCACTCCCACAGTGGACACTGGTCCTTGCTCGTGGTCAGAGGGCCAGATGGTGCTGTGGGGCACAGGGACAAGCAGGCGTCCTGAATTCAGGTGGGGACATCGAGCCTGTCCCGACAGGTGGCCCGGCAGTCTCTGACCATGTTCGTCCTCATCATGAACGGCTGTCACATCGAGATCGACGCCCACCGGCTGAATGATGGTGGGCTGCTGTTGTCCTACAGTGGTAACAGCTACACCACCTACATGAAAGAGGAGATCGACAGGTGCGTGGGGCGCCGCGTCCTGCCGCGGGCCTGGCACACAGGCCTGCCCTCTCCCGTGGGCAGGCACAAAGCCGGCCTGTGTGCAGTCCACAGGTCTTCCATAAAGTACTTCCTCTGGCAAATTCTGGGGCCCCTGGAGAGGTTCCTCTCTTGGCTGGAATTCCACGCTGTGGCAGACATTTATGGGAGGCTCCCAGGGCACCCATTTCTAGCAACATGGGGGGATTCAGAGCTGAATGGGACGTGACTCCCAGCTCCACAGCCTGCAAAGTGTGTGATGAGGGGACAGCTGCTCCGTGTCTGGGCGGCAGTGTCCATGCCCATCTGAGCATAGGCTTGGAGGAGATGCGGCCATCCAGTTAGGGGAGAAGCTATTTATTGAGCCTCTACTTGTGCCAGGCCCTGGGCTAGAGGTTAGGATGGAAGCATGGTCACGACTCGTGGAGCCTGTTGGGGACATGATACATTAAGCCAGCAGACAGTGGCAGGACAGGTCTCTGTGTGCCTGGATGGACAGAATACAGGATGACCTGGAAGCACTGAGCATAGGGCATCATGAGATGGACTCAAAGACCACCCTGCTCCAGTGTGTCTGACCACACTGAGCTCCCACAGTGAAATGGAGACCACCCCTGCTGAGTGGGCAGTGTAGACCCCCAGCCAAGGAGAGCAAGGTGGGGACGTGAGGGGGTGCCAGAGGCCCCAGGCCTGAAAAATCTGGTCAGAGAGTGGAGAGTCCCTTCCCCATCCTCGATGGAAGAAGACGAACTAGATTCATCGCGGAGCGGTGTGTTATTCCCTCTTTTTAACCCATGTTCTGTCTGCCAAGAATATTCAAGGTTATTATAGGCTCCACCCTTGGGGCATGCTCTCCCCAGTTCAGTTATAAGGTGAAGACATTCAGTCAGTAATTATTTATTGAATAAACTTTATTGGTTGCCTTCTCTGTGCCTGACATAATTCAGTAAAAGGAACTAGTTTTCAGCCAGAAAAAGGGCACACACTTTGCTCACCCAACTCACTCCCAGTATCGCTGTGGTATCTGTCAAATGCCAGCATTAGGGAAAGTGGAATCCCTCAAACGGCACACACTCATGGCTGCCTTTAGGAAGGGGAAAATACCGTCGAAAACCTGACTCAGGCCCCCCGGATCGATGGCCTCCCCAGTCTCCCCACCACCTCCCCGCCCTTCTCTCCCAGTTACCGAGTTACCATCGGCAACAAGACGTGTGTGTTTGAGAAGGAGAATGATCCCACGGTCCTGAGATCCCCCTCGGCTGGGAAGCTGATGCAGTACACGGTGGAGGATGGGGGCCACGTTGAGGCTGGAAGCAGCTACGCTGAGATGGAGGTGAGCAAACAGCTGGCCCTCGGGGATGTGGCTGCAGCTGGACGTCCCCACACCCCGTCCCCCAGGGAGGGCCGTCTGGCATTGCTTCTGCACCCCAGCAGACGGGCCTCCCCTCTCCCCTGGGCCATCGTCTGCAAATTCCTAAGAGAGCCGGTGTGTGAAGTTCAGCCCAGATTCTCAGCAGTATTCAAAGAGAAAAACCTCAAAAATGTGTACCTGCCCAGGAGTGAGTGTGAACTGATAAATAATGATGAAGATGATAAAAGATGGTGAGCCAACACTTGCAAAGCACTTACCTCGTGTCAGGTGCTATTCTAAGCATTTTACTTATTTTTAGTCGCCTTCTTGAACCTTCCCAGCAATCACAGGAGATGGGCTCAAATATGGTCCCCATTTTACACATGCAGAAACTGGGCACAGGCAGGCTAAGGAACTCACTGGAAGTCACACAAAGCCAGGATTCAGACCCAACCCCATGCCCTGTCCCTGCCAAGGAAAATAATAATGATAATGGCAATGAAAATACAGCAACAGTAGGGAGCTAACGCTTGTTGGCCTCAGGCTGCTTGCCAGGTCCTTCATCTTGCTTAATCCTTATAAGAGCCCCGTGAAAGGAGACTGTTGTTATTCCCCAATTTACAGTTGGGGAAACTGAGGCTCAGAGAGGGGAAAGCACTTGCTGGAGATCACAGAGTGATGGGTGGGGTACTGGCTGACTCAGGTCCCAAGCTGTGAACTGCTGAGCAGTAGGCAGCACAGTCCTGACCGTCTACAGCCCACACCACGGTAACAAAACTCATGTCCACATGTCCAGACTCGCAGAGAGGCCAGTTAAAGGGGCTGATGACTATTCTGCGAGCACATTCTTCGTTTCACAAAGTGTGCCCCAGAGGGTTTTCTCACTGCTCTTATGAAAGGAGCCAGTCACAAAATGCACCACATTTTAGGAACATGTGTCTTAATCACCCTACGTAATGATTTAACTGTATTTCTAAGAGAGAGACCTTACTTTGGGAATAAAGATCAGTTTCCATGTCTGTAAAGTGGGCACAATAAACATCTACCTTCCCGGCTGGCTTTGCTGATGGAGATGAGATGATTCACGCACAGCACCGTGCCTGGCACACAGCAGGCTTTCGGTAAATGCCGGTTCCCTCTATCCTTTCCGCTTGAACTCTGCCCAGGGAGTCATTCTATTTAAATGACCCAGTCCCCTCTCCAGAGTTACTAGCTCTGGGTGACTCTGGGTGTCACACACACAGGCCCGTCCTGGTGGGCTCCATCTTATTTCTTCTTTCTGCAAAACAGGTGATGAAGATGATCATGACCCTGAACGTGCAGGAAAGCGGCCGGGTGAGGTACATCAAGCGCCCGGGGGCCGTGCTGGAAGCGGGCTGCGTGGTGGCCCGGCTGGAGCTCGATGACCCTTCTAAAGTGCACCCGGTATGTGGCACCCAGCACAGCCACGCTGGCTGGCTCACGTGTGCTCATAGCACGTACCAGGGCAGCAGCCTGTCCTTAGGACCAGCGGAGGGTGTGCCAGAGTGTCGTGTGGTCCTGAGCTCAGGCTCCTGGGGGACCTCCAGTTTAGGTTCTTGTTAATTAATTGTTCAGCGTTTCTTAAGCTTGCTCATGAGACTGAGAGTTCTGAGATCAAGGACTGTTTCTGTTCATTGTTGTATCCTTGGTGCCTAGCACAGTGCTTGGGGCATAGAGGGTGCTCAGAAGAATGGGTCTTATTGATGGGTGAATCTTTACACCAGAGTAAGCCGCACGTATGGGGAGGTGGCTAGCCATTCACGCGTGTATTGTTTTCTCTACAATAATTAGTATATGCCCCCAGAAAAAAGCTAGAAAAGCATTTTTTTAAAAAATCAAATTGTGTCTTTCCTTAGACTGTTCATTCTGTTTATTTTCTTCTCCTTCTTTTCATTATTCTCTTTAGGGGGTTCCTAAAGCTAGAAATTGAGCCTTTGTAGATCGCTGGGCAGGCGTCTGTGCCTGCCTGCACTGTGACTCCTCTTGGCAAACATTTTCTCACCTGGATTCGTTGGACAGGGCCCGGCCACCAATCCCTGTGGGTTCATATGCGCCCGTGAGAAAGGCAGGCAGATGAGCCCTGTAATTCAGTGCGATCAGTACAGTAAGGAGGGCTGCCCTTGGCCCCCGGCTGTGGGACCCAGATGGAGAAGCCAGCGTCAGACTGGGGAGAAGGAAACCGTGCAGTTAATCGTGAAGTGCCTTAAGGATCGGGGCAGGTGGAGGGGACGGGAAGCTGAGGGCTCCCTGCCAGCAGAACAGCTCGTCCCGAACCTCCTGGGTCCCGGTGCCTCCCTCAGGGTAGGCGTTCAGTGGATATTTGTAGAATGTGTTCATAGACAAACGGGCACATTAAGTCAGCGTTGCCCTGTTGGGGAGCTTTTCAATTTTTGGTCCTCTAAGACTAAATGTATATGATTTACAAAAATCAGGAAGATTTGTATAAGAGTTTCATAAATTTTCATCTTGCTAGCCGTTTATCTTTAGGATTCGATAGAGACTGAAAATAGGGAGATAATTTTGATTAGAAAGCAAAACAAAACAATCTAACCCTCCCAAAATTGTTTGGGGGACATAACAATTTACAATGACATTTGCAAAGGGGATGATTTGGAAAACCCGCAGAGAGGTGTGAATTGAGCAGTTTTACCGTTTGGATCCCATGTTTTCTTGTGTGGCTTCCTCCTGACTGTACTGTGTATATTGTGTGTTGGTAGGTCTGCCTCAGCCCTCGGCTTGTCTCGTCTCGTTCGAGGGCCACAGAGTCCTTGATCTGTGGTTCTTGTTGTGTCTCATCAGGCCGAGCCGTTCACGGGAGAGCTCCCCCCCCAGCAAACCCTGCCCATCCTCGGAGAGAAGCTGCACCAGGTTTTCCACAACGTTCTGGAAAACCTGACCAACGTCATGAGTGGCTACTGTCTGCCAGAGCCGATTTTTAGCATAAAGGTAGGTCGTGTGTGAAGGGTAGTTGTGTGTTCTACACACGTGTGTAAGCCCATGAAGAGCCAGAAGGGTTTACTCCATGAGATCAGAGGGCTTTATGAAATGAGGAATGAGAGAACGGTGAGTCCTCTGTTGTTTTTATAAAGGACCTGTTCTCCGGAAATTTCTCAATGCAGTTCCTTGATTGTAAATGTCAGTGTATGTTTCTCTTTGATTATAAACTGTTGTGTATGTTACATTGGGTTTTGGTGGTTCGGTTCAGCTCAACCCTGAGAATATTGAAGTAGTAAGTTAAGAACGGAGTCCCTGTGGGTCAGCCCTCTTAAAGAGACTGAGGAAGGAAGACACTCTGTGCAGAAACACAACTCAGTTCCTCGTTCACCATCCCAGGGTCCCGGTGTCTACTCACTCTGCAGAGAAACAAGTTCTCAAATTTGCAGACCTCCGTGAAAGGCCCCGAACCCAACATCAGTAGCAATAGAACTGTGTTGTATTGCATTCCATCTCAGAATAGCCAATCATGGTGGTGCTGGTGGTAATGAAGGTCGTGGTGGTGGTGGTAATAATAAGGGCCAACCCTTACCTAGTACATGCTATGTGCCAGCCACTGCTCTACGCACTTAAAACTTATCAAGTCATTTAATCCTCCCAACAACCTATGAGGTCGGAACTAGAGGCACAGAGAGGCTAAGAAACTTGCTGTGTTTCACCTGTGAAGAGGCAAAGAGGGGATTTGAACCCTGGCCATCTGACTTCAGAGTCCGTGCTCTTAACCCCTATGCTATGCTGCGTAATTGTGATTGCTGTCGTTGCAACATTATTTAGTCTTTGCACTTGCCAGTGCATGCTTCATTTCATTTCAAACCTCACAACCACCCTATGGGGTTGGCACCATTAGCCTCCTCAAAGACCATCAACGTTTCAGCTGCCGGGACACCCAGAAGCAGTGCAGTGCGGCTGTTAAGAGTCTCGGGAGCGAGATGGTCTGAGTTTGTTGGCTTTGCTTCTTACTTGCTGGGTGATTTGGGGTAACTTAATTAGCCTCTCTGTGTTTGAGTTTTGTCAGCTGTAAAACGAGAAAAATGATTATACCTATTTCCTAAGGTTGTTTCTGGGGATCAAAGGAGAATGTGCAAATAAAGGCCTTAGAACAGTGTCTGGCACTAAGCAACTGTCCCACAAACGTTAGCTCTTCACATGTCCTGTGTTATAGTCCCATGCCACGCCGCCTCTCTGAATGCATGGAGAGGGGAGTGGGGGCCTTTCCGGGTGGGGCAGCTGGGCATTCCTCTTGTGGTCAGGGGGCCATTCCACTCTGGACTATTCCGGAGGCTCCTGGGTCTAGATCTTTGGCCGCTCGAGTGCACGGGGCCTGGATGCGTTGAGTGCATTGGGTGCTCCGTGGTGGGTGGCGGTGCCCACGCCCCTGCAGGGCCTTGGGCCGATGCCGTGGTCTCTGCTACAGCTGAAGGAGTGGGTGCAGAAGCTCATGATGACCCTCCGGCACCCATCGCTGCCGCTGCTGGAGCTGCAGGAGATCATGACCAGCGTGTCGGGCCGCATCCCGCCGCCCGTGGAGAAGTCGGTCCGCAGGGTGATGGCCCAGTACGCCAGCAACATCACCTCGGTGCTGTGCCAGTTCCCCAGCCAACAGGTGTGTGTCCCCCACCGTGCTCGGGATGCTCACGCCGGGCCAGGTGGCTCCTTGGGAACTCAGCTCCCAGTCAGTCTCCACCTCTGGCCTCTGGTCGAGATGGGCTTCATGAGACCCACTTACACCTGAGATGTTGGGGGCTGAGAATTTTCTTTCTAACCTTCTCTGCAGCCTCCCAGCATTTTCGCCAAAAGAACAGTTGTTCGGATGAACATAACCAGTGATTAGGCCTCACTCCATAAAACTCGGATTCAGAATAGGAGTAAGCAGTGGGTATAGAATGAGCATTTTCAGAAATACACTGGCTGAAATAATTAGAGGAAAGTGAGTTTTTCTTGGTTTGTAGCTTTGATTCCCTCCCTGTGCTTTTGGTAAAGAGGTAATCTTGGGGCCTTACATATATATAATATTTTTAAGAATGGAACCCATTCCAAGGTAGTATAAAGTATCTCTAATAATTCTGCATTGGCCTCATTTTGTTTTTTTTTCGGGGAGGGGGATTGCGTTTATCAAGCATTTTAAAGGTAATTTGCATTTGGAAGAGCCCCCTCTGCCTGTTTACCTTCCTGACCTCAGTCTGAGTGGAAGGGCTACCTACCATCGTCATTCCCCACCCACACACTAGTGATTTGGGGAGCTAGAGGTCAGAGTCGGTCAGGTCATTCCCTGAGCTCAACAACTCTCGAGGTTGGGATATTGTTCTAGTAGAAAAAGGAGTGAAATAGTGATTCATGCCACCATGTGGATGAACCTTGAAAACATTCTGCGAAGTGAAAGAAGCCAGACACCAAGGACCACGTGTTGCAGGATTCCATTTACATGAAGTGTCCAGAATCGGCAAACCACGGAGAAAGAAAGTAGATCAGTGGTTGCCGGGGGCTGAGGGAAGGGGGAATGTGGAGTGGCTGCTGATGGTTGTAGGGTGTTTCTGGGGGAGATAAAAATGCTCTCAAATTAGACAGTGGGGATGGTTGCACAACTCCGTGAATATACTAAAAGCCACTGAATTCATTGTGTACTTTAAAAAGTGGGGAGTATTATGGTATGTGAATTATATCTCAACTAAAAACAAAAACAGAACTCTACAGGACCCCATTTGAGACAAGTACACGTTTGGACCTTTTAGGAATTTGTCATGGATGCAGGTTTTTTAAAAAAGTATTTTTGTTGCCAGAAACAATATGCCCATAACATTAAGTCTAATTATAAAAATAGAACCCATCCCCACCCTGCACCCTCATTGTCCCTGGGTTTGGGAATCTTCTCCTCTTTCCCCAGACCAGTCGTGTTCGTGGAGAGGAGTAATGGGAATGTGTGTACGTCTTTACGGGATTGTTGTCATTCTGAGCTCTGGAATTCCCCAAGCAGCATGTTGAGTGGGAACAGCAGAGCCGTGTCTGGGTGGCCAGAGGTCTTTGGGGTCAGAACTTTCAGTTTTCGAATGAGCCTCAGATGAGATATCTTTGGGAGCCCATGGTGGGTCCTTCCGGTGACTTCTGTGTGGCGACCGGATCATGTGGTTGTGAGTGGCCAGACCTGTCCTGTTTTCCCGTCCAGATAGCCACCATCCTGGACTGCCATGCGGCCACCCTGCAGCGGAAGGCCGACCGGGAGGTCTTTTTCATGAACACCCAGAGCATCGTGCAGCTGATCCAGAGGTGAATCCTGGGCCCTCCGTGGGGTGCGGTTGTCACACTGAAATGTCCCAGGTGTTGCACTGGGGTGGTGCTCTGGGGCTCTCCTAAGTGCAGCCTCCCACTGGGGCCAGCGCGTGGGGTCTGAAGACCCTGATTATGGTCCTGGCACAGCCATTCCTAATAGCAGAACCCAGGGCAAGGCATTTCTGTGAATCTGTTTCCCAGTTTGTAAAATGGAAATAAAAACACCTCACGCACGCTAAGTCAGTCATTCCGAGTTATGCGTGGATTAATTTTTGTAAAATTAGCAAGTATTTATGTTAGCTTTGATTATGACGCAATGAGATGAAATAGCTTGATATGCCACAAAGGGCTGTCTGTACAAATTCTCATTGCGGTTTTTGGGGACCATTGCCAAGGAGAGTTGATGAAGCATTTATATTTTAAATAGCTATTGAGCAGGAAGAACTGTTCTGATGATAAAAAGAACCGCCATTTTGTGTGAAAACTGCATAGCAAAAAAGCTTTGCTTATAAAGACAAATGGAAGCACTCTCAGACCCGAATGAATAATTCTGTGCATGTTTACCGTGTGCCAGAAACTATCAGAGGTGCAGAGGATGTAGGACGGTAGGAGACGGCCCTTCTTTTTGGGGAGGTCCCGGGCTCTTGGGGACTCATGCTAACAATACAGGATTGTAGCTGAGGAAGATTTTAGTGTGGATTCCCCGGGGAGAGAAAGTTTTTTGGTTTTTTTCCAAACTGTCTTTATATATTGGATGGTTAGTTGAAAATTTTTGTTTGTAACCATGCATGCAAGGCTGACCCCTTTCAGCATCTCAACACTATAAGTGTTTTTCCTTCTCTCTGGGAACAGGCAGGCGCCACCCAAAGGCTCAGGCTTGGCCTCTGGTTTGATGTATGACCTTGGGCAAGTCACTGCTCAATTTGGTGTGCAGAGTTAGCACAAATGAACCCACTCAGGTCCCTCCCAGGCCTACGGATTAGGCGGTGTAGCCTCTAGATACTTTATGACCATTTTCCTTTTTGAAATCAGGAAAGCCCTGGCTGTAGATATTCAGGTGCACAGGGAAGTGGAGTCGATCATTAAGGCAGCCTCCCCTTCCTCTCCAGATACCGCAGCGGGACCCGCGGCTATATGAAGGCGGTGGTGTTGGATCTCCTGCGAAGATACTTACACGTCGAGCACCATTTCCAACAAGGCAAGAGTCGCCGCTGGCACTGGTGACAAGCCCACAGGGTGGGAGGGGCCCCCAAGCCTTACTCGTGTGCGGCCTTTTGTCTCCCTGCAGCCCACTACGACAAGTGTGTGATAAACCTCCGGGAGCAGCTGAAGCCAGACATGGCCCAGGTGCTGGACTGCATCTTCTCCCACGCGCAGGTGGCCAAGAAGAACCAGCTGGTGATCATGTTGATCGTAAGCAGGAAAGCGTGCCCTGTACCCAGAGCGGCAGGAGCTCTGGGGTCTGCAGACTTTTTTTGGAAAGGGCCAGAGAGTCAATATTTTAGATGTTGCCAGTCCTGTGGTCTCTGTCCCGACCTCTCAACCGCCCTACCATTGTGTAATGGAAGCGGATGGGTGTGGCTGTGTCCTGATAAAACTTTGTTTACAAAACCAGGCAGTGGGTGGGATTTGTCAGCCCCTGGGGGAGATCATGACCAGCACTCACAAAGCACCTACTATGTGTCAGGCACTCTTGCCATGCTTTGGGCAAGGCATCTTGCCTCTCTGAGTCTCAGTTTCCTCATCTGTAAAAGGGGGATCGTGAGAGTAACTCCTCAGAGGGTGGGAGAATTTGGTGAAATGGATGTAGCGGGTCTCACTGCTTGCCTGGCACATAGTGAGTACCCGTTAATCACTGGCTGTGAATAGTGATGCAGACAGAGAAATAGACGTGTTTTTCTTCCTACCGGGTGTTACGGGTGTGCTTTCCGGTAGATGAATAGGTGATTGAATGAATGAATGAATGAATGAATGGGGGTACACAGTGGAAAGTAGTTAAGGGTGTGTATATCAGGCTGTGCCGGGTATGTTCAGAGAATGGAGCAGCTGTCTCGTTTGTTGGGGCAGCCGAACCCCCGGACGAGGGTGAGTGCTGGCGTGTTTCCCTCTGACGGAGAAAGGCCACTGGATTCTGATTCTGTCCCCCAAAGGACGAGCTCTGTGGCCCAGACCCTTCCCTGTCGGAGGAGCTGACCTCCATCCTCAATGAGCTCACCCAGCTGAGCAAAAGCGAGCACTGCAAAGTGGCCCTCAGAGCCAGACAGGTAGAGTCAAGGGGCATAGTCCCCATGGTGTGTTGGGGTTGTGGGGTGCCATCCTCCCACCATGTTCAGCCCGCGCTGTGCACAGCCCCACGTCTGACCTGCAGGGCCCGGCCCCTGGCTTCTCCCCTGCGGGGCTGGCTCACCCCAGCCCCTCCGTCCCCTCCCCCTGCAGGTCCTGATTGCCTCCCACCTTCCCTCCTACGAGCTCAGGCACAACCAGGTGGAGTCCATTTTCCTGTCTGCCATCGACATGTACGGCCACCAGTTCTGCCCAGAAAACCTCAAGGTGAGGCCGTCTGCTTCTGTCCACCTTCCACCGAGCACACACTGTAGCCCAAGTGGGGCCTCGGGGAAGCAGGCTTCCCATGCTGGCACAGTCGCAGATAGCAGTGGGTTAGTCCAGTGTGGCCAGGGCTCAGTCCTGCAGGATGGACAGAGCCTCAGGCAGCCAGACTCGCTGAGGAGGTGCGATTTAAAAATTCAGGTGATGGAGCATATCTGGAAGCTGCACGCACTCGCATGGCTGAGTCATGGCTTCATCTTCCCAGGGCTCCCCTGCCCCCCAACTCTGGCTCATGTGCAAGCTTCCAGCGCCCCGTCTGTGTCTGAAACTGGGAGCCCCAGGTGCAGGCATCTCAGAGCTGCCTCCACTCAGGTCTTCCGGGCCTGGGCACTGGCAGTGTTTCATGATAACACCACCGCCAGCTTCTCCCCCCTGCTCCGACCCTCACCCTACACTCATTGACTGTTATTTAAACTTAACATTTACTTTTCCTTTTTTTCCCTTTCCATTTCCTGTAGAAATTAATACTTTCGGAAACAACCATATTTGACGTCCTGCCCACTTTCTTCTATCATGCCAACAAAATCGTTTGCATGGCGTCCTTGGAGGTAAGTAGGAGAGAGGCCCACACAACAGCACCAGTACTGTGCATGCCAGTTCTGGCGTCCACTGCGCGACCGCCACACACCTGACCCGGGCCACGCGCCTTGCAAACATGATCTTATCATTCTCTCCACAGGTAGGTACCATTACTATATGCTTCTTACAGTGAAGGGAACTGAGGCTCAGAGAGGTGAAGTGACTTGCTCAAGGTCACACAGCTAGGAGGTGGCAGAACCAGGATTCACACTAGGTCTGCCTTAGTGCAGTCCTGCTGGTCACCCCTGCTATCTCGTGTGCCATTCCAGCCTCAGCCAGGCAGGGCAGAGTTGAATACTAACCCCCAAGAGCCGAGGCTAAGGCACCTCGTCCAAACTTTCCAACTCCCTTGCTTTAGACACCTTTGAAAGACTTTTCCACTTGGAACTACAAGAGCTGGAAGGAGCCTACATGCGAGTCAAAGTGACCTCCCAGTGTGGCGGGGCAGAGGAGAGCATGACCAGCAGCAAACCCCAGATTAGAGCCACATCGTCTTGCCCCTGCTCCGGTCTTCCTGAATTTAGGGGCTGAGAGGTGTCTTGTTAGTTTCAGGGCATCACAGTGTTAAATCTGCTCTTTCAGAATCCTCTCCAGGAAATGGAGGGTGACGTCCTGTGTTTTCAGCTTGGCTCTCTTCCCCTGGTGGTGGTTCCTCCTTTCTTCTCCCTCTAACCTTGGAGTCTTGGTCCCCTGTGGCCCCCACTCCCTCTTCTGCCCTTTGAGACCCTGTGGGGCCCCCCTCCTGAGGCCAGAAGGTTGACTGGGTCTCCATGGAGACCATTTGGGGCTTGAGAGCATAGAACCGTCTCCTGGGCCTGCAGTTTTACCCCCTCCCTGGTTTCAGCTCGAAGAATCCTTCTCAGGTTCGGCTCTTTGTTTCCAGCAGTGAGACCCAGTACAGCTCTTGAGTAATTACATTTTTTCTCTCTCTCCAATTTTCAACACTCATTATTGAGACCTTCTGTGTGCCAGGAGCTGGGATACAGCAGAGAACAACCATCGTGTGTGTCCGGGTGGAGCTTCTGGTTGGGGCGAGATGCACACTCAGTATTTCTTTAATGACACGTGCGATAGGGTTGCCACGAGAAAATACAGGCCATGGTGTGACCTGGACAGCAGGATTTAACCTTACCAGGAGGTTCAGCTCAGGCTGTGATGAGAAGGTGATAAGAAAGCATGTGAAGAGCAACTAGGAATTGGTGGGAGGGAGAAGCACAGAGATTCCAGTCAGTGGGAGCAACATACACAAAGCTGTGTGACCTCTGGCAAGCTGCTTTCCTTCTCTGGGCTTTTACATTCTCATGCTTTAGTAGGAGGAATAAAACCCACCTCACAGGATGAATTGAAGGTAAATGAGTAAGCACCTGAAATGAACATTGGTCACTGTTGCCCCCGTCGTGCAAACACCTGTCCTGTTTGGGGGGGGGGGGTGTTATCTCAGGTGGAAAGCAGCAGCCCACCTTCCTCACTTTGTGAAGTGCTAAATCTCATTTATTTCTAGTAAAGATTTTTTTAGGCTGCTTTACACATTCTGTCAGTTTGTTAGGCAGATTTTTTGAACATAGTCCAACCTTTTCTTCATGACTCAAGATGAGCCTCATAAACATGACATGTTACTTGGCCTCTTGAGATGGGTAGAGTTTTGTCCCTGCTCTAAATGTGTCTGGAGCCCCCAAGACCACCCCCAGGATCGATGATTCGCTAGGAAGACTCCCAGGGCTCAGCATATAGTTGTGCTCACGGTTGTGATTTATTACGGCGAAAGGACTTAAAGCCCAGCCAGCAGAGGGAAAAGGCACATGGCCAGAGGAACCAGGCACGAGCTTCCAGTGGTCTTCCAGGCACTGTTAATTCCTTGAGCAATGAGTTGTGACAACACACGCAAAATGTTGTCTACCAGAAAAGCTCCTTAGAGACTCAGCATTCAGAGTTTTTATTGGGTGCTGATCACACAGGCACCCTCTGCCTACCGGTCCCCAAATTCTAAACTCCCAGAAAGAAAGCACATGTTCAACATAAATCTTATCCTTTGCGCAGCTCAGGCACCGTGAACCATTCTTATCAGGGAATGGTGGGAACCCTCCCAAATCCGAGTTCCTGGATGCTAGCCAAGGGCCAACCTCGTAAGCAGACCTTTCCAAGGATAGCAATTAGGCCTGCTGTGTTGACTCTTGCCACACAGTCCTCATATTCCCTATTCAGTTAAAAAAACTCCCAGTGCTTAAGCTCTAGAACCTTGCTGTCCAGTGTGGCAAGCACTGGCCACATTTGGTTAGTGAGCACTTAAAACGCGGCTAGTCTGAACTGAGCTGTGCTCTAAATGTAAAATACACACCCAATTCCAAAGACTTAGTTTGGAGGAAGAATTGAAAATATCTCAATAATTTTTTTATTGATTACATGTTGAAATGATAATATTTTAGGTATTGGGGATGAAATGAAATAAGTTGTTACAATTATTTTTACCCGTTGCCTTTTTTTACGTGGCTACTAGAAAACTTAAAATTAATTTAAAATCATACGCGTGACTTGTGTTTCATTTCTATTGGGCTGCGCTACTCTAGAGCAGGAGTTGGCAAACAGCCTGTGGGCCACGTCTGGCCCCCTGCCTGTTTTTGCAAATAAAGTTTTATTGGAACACAGTCGTGCCCAATCATTTACATATTATCTGTGGCTGCTTCCTCTCTACAACAGCAGAATTGAGCAGCTGTGATAGAGATGATGTATCCCGCCAAGCCTAAAATATTTGTGATCTCGTTCTTTGCAGAGAAAGTAACATTCTGAAATGTGAGCAACTTTGCTCTTAACTACTGCTTAGAGGTCATTTAGAGATGCTTTCTCGAGCCTGAGTTGTCTCGGTTTCGAGGGCACTCTGTGGTGCCCTCTGAGAGCGTCTGCTGTGACTCTGTTTTATTAGGTTTATGTGCGGAGGGCCTACATCGCCTATGAGTTAAACAGCCTGCAGCACCGGCAGCTCCCAGACGGCACCTGTGTGGTGGAATTCCAGTTCATGCTGCCCTCCTCCCACCCAAACCGGTATGGAGTGGTACACACCCAGGGGTGGGTTGGATTTCTTGTCTCTGTGACCACTGCATCCTCTCTCCGGAGGGACCCAGCAAGAATGGGTGGGAATACAGCTGGGGAGACGTCGGGGGCACCATTTCCCCACTGCCGGGTCTCCCCACATCTCTGTTCTCTCATCTGTAAAATGGAGATAACTGAATGCCTGCTTCATATACCTGCACAGTCCAGTATGGTAGCCACTACCTACGTGTGGGCTATTTAAATTAAAACGAATGACCATTAAATTAAAAATTCAGTTCCTCAGTCATACCAGCTGCATTTAAAGTGCTCAGTAGCCACGTGTGGCTCGTGGCTTCCATGTGGGACATTGCAGTTCTAGAACATTCTGGCACTGCTGAAAGTTCTATTGGACAGCGCTGTCTTAGGCCATTGTGAAGAGTAAATGAGGTAAGGCACTTACAGTATTTAGAGCAATGCCTGGCATGCAGGAAGTTGTTGATGAATCTTAGGGGTCCCTGTGATGATTGTGACTGATTCTGTTATTAGTCTGACGTCATGCCGTTGGTCGGGCACTATGCTAAGTGCCTCCACACTCTATTTCATTCTGCCCTCACCATCTGTCGGCTGAAAATGTGTTCTCATGTCCGTTTTACAGACGAGGAGCTCTGGCCGAGCTGCTCAATCACTCAGGAATTTGAGCCCAGATCGTGCCCTCACCTCAGACTTCTTCCCACAGCATTTTTTTTTTTTTTTAAAGATTTTTTATTTATTTATTTTTCCCCCAAAGCCCCAGCAGATAGTTGTCTGTCATAGCTGCACATCCTTCTAGTTGCTGTATGTGGGACGCGGCCCCAGCATGGCCAGAGGAGCGGTGCGTCAGTGCGCACCCGGGATCCGAACCCGGGCCGCTGGCAGCACAGTGCGCGCACTTAACCGCCAAGCCACGGGGCCGGCCCATTCCCACAGCATTTGAGGGCTCTCTGGAGCGAGCATGCTTGTTGGCCCGTTTGGATCCCGTGATGTCCTCAGTTGGGGACATCCTGGTGTGTCTGCGTGGCTGCCTCACATCTCTTGTTCAGTCTATCTTATATCAGAACCCGAAGTGCCATTCTGGTCAGACAGTGTGACACCTTTTACTCAAGCGATGCTGTCTCCCTGGGGTTTGAGGTTCTCTTTACTCTGCCTGTCCCTCTGTTTCCGGTTCTCTTGGGGGCTCCCGGAGGCCTTGCTTGTGCCTAGAACGGTCTCGTGACTTGGTTGCTGAGCTGGTCAGATCTTATATCTATATGGGCAACAGGGTTCCTGCTTTCTTGAAACGGGATTTTCTGGTCTCTTGGGATTTTAAAAAATATGTTTCTCTTTCCGTTGGTTTTAAGAAGAAAGGTGTTGCTCTGTTATGGATGAAGAACAAAAGTGCTTCCCCATGAGGCACCTCCGTTTATTTTTACAACTTCTTTTTCCCAAAAAACGGGATTGTGATGTTTTGTTTGATTCAGACAAAAGGGGACTGGTGGCTTGTGGCCTGGCACTATTTTGGGGACTGTGGGAAGTGTGGCGTAAGAACTTTGAAACTGTCTGCTCCTGAGGAGGAAAAATTCTTTTCCTTTTTTGATTTCATTGTCTCAGCAGTTCAACCCAGTTAGGAAAGGAAGGTGGCTTCCTGAAGCCTGTGGGTCAGTCACGCCCTGTTTCTTAGGAGGGACGGACACATGTCTCCGGGTTATTGGCTGTGACCCTTGATATGGGCGCAGGGTCGTGTTTTCACCCAGGGAGACACTGAGGACCCCAGAGGGATCCCGGACCATCTCAGGTCCTCGCTGTTGCTATCAGCTGGGAATGCCAGAAGCCTCCCCGGGCCCGTGGCCTCAGAAGAGACCCCTACCTGCAGTTGGTCCCGCAACCCTGCTCTTCAAGGCCTCTGAGAAGGACCAGGAGGAGTGAAGTCTCACCTCCCCGCAGGGCCTGGCTGGGCCCTCCACGCCTGTGTCCCTAGAGCCGGGGGCTGTGAATTGGGTCAGGGGACCAAGGGGAAGGTCAGATAGGAGGCCAGCAGGGCCTCGCAGGGGCTGTGGCTTGGAGCTAGATGCAGGCCCATGGGGGCTGTGAGCACGGCCAGGAGCTGGGAGCTGGAGAGCTGGGCTCTGCCTGCGAGGCTGCTCTTCTAGCTGGCTCGCTGGTGCCCTGCAGGAAAGCAGCCCAGCGAGGCCAGATCTTTCTATGTTTTTTACAAGAGAAGCAGGACATTTTGTAGACATTTAGACTTTTTCAAAAGACCAAATCCCTCAATTCTTCAGTGTGGGCAGGTAATTAATGTATAGGAATATTTAAAAATGCTGGACCCATTTTTAGTCCGGACCCGAGTCAGTCTATGGCTGAATTCAGGCCATGCTGGCATGCCAGTTTGTTACCTCTGCATTTAGCAGTCGGGGAGCAGGGGGCCCGGATGATGATTTCTGGGGTCCCTAACAGGAAGGTGCACACAGGCCCCACCACCCCAGGTCGGGGGTCCCAAAGAGCACCCCCAGATTCGACGATTCACTAGGAAGATTTCCAGGACTCAGTATATAGTCGTGCTTCCGACTGTGACTCACAACAGCGAAGGGACACGAGCCCAGTCAGCAGAGGGAAAAGGCACGTGCAGGAAGTCCCGAGGAACCGGACGCAGGCTTCTGGGGGTCCTCTTCCGGTGGAGGCACATGGGATGTGCTTCATTCCCCCAGAAATGAGGTGTGACAACTGCGTGAAACGTCCAGTGGCTGTTAGAGACTCAGCGCCCAGGGTTTTCGTTGGGAGCTGGTCGCGGCACCCACTGCCAATCACTTACCAATACCCAGACTCCGGAATGAAAGCAGGTGCCTAGCATAAACCCCACAGCACAAACGATTTGGGCACAGTGAGCCTCCCTTATCATTTAGGGAGGGGTGGGCGCCCTCCCAGATCCATGTCCCGGGCACCAGCCAAGGGCCAGCCTTGCAAGCAGGTCTCCTCTTCGGGAGCGCAGCCTGGGGCCTGCTCTGTTGACTCTTCCCTGCCCCCCATCTGGTGAACAACCCCTCCTTCCCTGGCTCTCACCGCCCCAGGGGACCTGCTTGGATTTTCTCCTGGTGAGCAGCCAGTCTAGGGGTCAATGGCCGATTAAACTCTAATGGGCTGCTGTCCTGGGGGGAAGTTTTGGTTTCTGACCCTGTCCCGAGAGCAGGTTTGTTGGAGGGAGGTTTGTAGGAGGAGCAGAGGCCTGGAGGGTCTCAGAACCAAGCCTGCCCCTCACCAGCTGCCCAGGCCTGGTGCTTTCTGGGCAAAATTGGCACTGAGAGTGTTCATTCTCTGTGGCTGAGTTCACTACTTTGGGTTTACCTTGTAGGATTCTGACACCAGTTCCAAAGTGTGGGTTTTTCAACACCGTGACGCGATTCTCTGACACCAGCTGGATGTCCTACGATTTAACTCAATTCTGACACTGTCTTCCTGGAGATAGCGTCAGATCTCTCAGGTTAAGGGCTCAGCCCTACAAGACTGCCCCACCCACCCCACTTCAGATGCCAATTGCAAGTCCAGGTTGTCACCTGTACTTCTGACCCATGGGCTATAAATCAGAGGTTCCCACGACTCCCTCCTTGGGTTCCATTAATTTGTTAGAGCGGCTCACAGAACTCAGAGAAAGATTTTATTTACTAGGTTATCAGTTTATCATAAAAGGATATAACCAAAAAATAGCCAGGTGGCAGAGATGCATGGGGTGAGATTCCGAACACCAGACCTTCTGTCCCTGTGGAGTATGGGGCCCAGCACATGGATGCGTTCTGGTTCACCAACCCAGAAGCTTCCTGAACCACCCCCCTTTTGGGTGTTTATGGAGGCTTCATTACATAGGCACGATTGATTAAATCATTGGCTGTTGGTGATTGATTCTACCTCTAGCCCCTCGCTTCTCCCCAGAAATCAGGGGGTGAGACTGAAAATTCCAACCCTCTAATCAAGGTTGGTTCCCTTGGCAACCAGCCCCCCTCCTTAGGTGCTTCCCAAAAGTCACCTCATTAATGCAACAGAAGACACCTTTATCACTCTCATCGCTTAGGAAATTCCAAGGGTTTCAGGAGCTCTGTGCCAGGAGCAGAGACAAAGACCAAATATGTATTTTGTTTTATAAATCACAATATCACCCCTTGGGGACTGTGTTGGGAATGGACTTCATTGCATGCATCGTTCGTTCATTCATTCATTCGCTCACTCGTTGAGCCCTAGTCTACACCAGGTCCTGAGGAATCAGACGAGACTCCTCAGCCCCTGGCCCTGACCTCAGTCCCCCCACCCCCAATTTTAAGGCCCCCTTTGAGAGGACTCTAATGCTGATCTGGCTCACTGAAGCTTCCAGGGCAGGAACAGCGCCTGGGGCCCGACCTGCAAGCAGCTTCCTCATTCCCCACTTCCTGTGCCCCAGCAGGATGGCTGCGCCCATCAGTGTCACCAACCCCGACTTGCTGAGGCACAGCACCGAGCTCTTCATGGACAGTGGCTTTTCCCCGCTGTGCCAGCGGATGGGGGCCATGGTCGCCTTCAGGAGATTCGAGGATTTCACCAGGTACCCGGCATGGCCCCGTTCCCAAACACCCTGAGCAGAGCGGCGAGCGAGCTTCCCCTGATCCCCACCCGTTCATTTGACACGCAGGGTAGGGGCGGCCCAGACAGGTGGTGCAGAGAGTCAATAATGACAGGATGATAATATCATCGTAGCCGAGAGTGTGGGCTTTTGTGTCAGCCTGCCTGCCTTTGAATTCTGGCTCTGTGCTTCCTAACTGTGAGATTTGGAACAAATTATTTAACCTCTCTGTGCCTTAGTTTTCTCATCTTAGTTTTACAATAAGTGTAAGAGAAGGACCTACTTCACAGGTCACCAGGAAAATAAATGAGATAGTACATATTAAATATTGTATTTAAAGCATAATTAACATGTAAATAACATGCTCAATGAATGTCAGCTATCGGAACTATTGTTATCATTGCCCTTCTTTCACCCTGGTCCTGTGTATCACACACGGTGCTTGGATTATCTCGTATCTTCGCCGCAGCCTTAGGAGGTGTAGTGATTGCTTTTATTATTCTCAGTTGACTCATGAGGTGAGGTGAGGTTGTGAGGTCTCCCAGCCTGTGAAAGAGGGAGCCCAGCTGGTGCCCCGAAGTGTTGGGTTGGACGTTTTTTTTTTCGTTCACGATCTCACATCACATAGGTTCATGCTTCCCTTTTGGGAAAGACCCCTTGAGTGGTGCCTTGGACCTAGTCGGGAACCAGGTAAGCTCTGCACAGAGCTGCAGGAGCTCACAGACTGGTGGTCGGGAAGAGGCAGGGCCCAGGTCTGGCCTAGGACCGCCTGGGGCAGCGGCCCCTCAGCCCTCCCTCTCTGTCCCGCGCCCCCAGGAACTTTGATGGAGTCGTCTCCTGCTTCGCCAACGTGCCCAAGGACGCGCCCCCCTTCAGCAAGGTGCACACTTCCCTGTACTCCGAGGATGACAGCAAGGTAAGCGTCTGAGCAGGGAGCAAGCTGAGGAGGGGACAAGCTGGGGCCCTGGGCCCTTCTACCACTGGGTCTTGGTTTTCTCTCCCAGAGCCACAGAGAAGAGCCAATCCACATCCTGAACGTGGCCCTGCAGTGCGCAGACCATCTCGAGGATGAGGAGCTGGTGCCGATTTTCCGGACGTTCGTGCAGTCCCGGGTACGTGGGGCATGACTCTGGTTTGGGCGACAGCTATTGTGTACGCTCAAGGACCGCAGCTGCAAACATGTGGAACAGTTCGGCGAGTGTGGGTGGTAGAAACAGTGGGAAGGTGCTGTGTAACCTCAGGCAGGTTGCTTTCCCTCTCTGATCCTTAGTCTTCCCATCTGTAAAAATGGGATGCTGAGACTCTTGGCTCATACATTTATCAATCTCCCAGGCATGCTGTCTGGCTGTTAGTTCTTTACCCTCCTAACTTGGTCTCAACTTCAAGAACACTTGGAAATTTTCAGTTGTTCTTTTTAATCTGTTTACCTGTATATGTTTTGTGTTCCCTGTATTATCCTGGTACGAAGGACACCTCTTAGGTCCTCTGACTTGGCGTCCCTCAGAGGACCTGGCCTGGTGCTTCCTGGACAGAAGTTGGGCGAATGAGGCCAGGTTGTGGAAACACCGTGAAAACTTAGGGACATTATTGTCAGTGGTTTACTTAGCCTGCAACTGATTCATCAGCAGCGTGATGATGCTCATTGTAGAAAATGTTTAAGGTGCAGACCAATCTGAAAAGCAGGTTTTAAAACAAAACCCCACCATCCAGAGGCAGCCACCGTGGAAGTTTTGGCATGTTTCCTCCAGCCTGTTTCTTCTTGGCACAGCTGATGTCCTCACTGGATTTTAGTGTGGCGGCCCGCCGCGTAGACAAGGTGACATCCGAGCTGGTGGGGAGCTCGCCTGCCCCTCCAACCAGATCAGACGACTCTCAGGATGTTTCAGGGTTCTTACCCGGAGAGGGCGCAGGGAGGCATGTTGGAATCACCTGTGGAAAGAGTGGGCGGTGAGGAATCCTGCAGTGTAGACGACTGTGCTGTGGGTACCACGTGTCTGTGGAAAGGAAGGAACCAGTTCTTTGAATACTGACCTGGAGGATATCCATGAGCTAGAAGAGGTTACATGTATGTATCTCTGTACATATAAATGTATTATATAGACATGTGTCATATATGGGTGTGTGTGTATGTATAAAACATAGGGAAGAGAGCAGAGCTAGAAGAACATACACCTACTAGGGGAAAGGAAAGACATTTTTTATGTTATATATTCCTATAGTATTTAAAATTTTTACATTAAGCAGATACGTATGTACACACTCACACACGTAAACATGCATATACATACACATTCACGCACGCACATGCACACATTCACTCACACCTTTAATTGAGAACCAGAAGTCAGGCTCCCAGTAACCAGGTTGGTCTTCCCACATTAGAATCCTCTTCATTTTGCACTTTATCCTGTTCTCTTTCCAACCTGCCTTCCATGAGGTATTCTTTTGTGTATGTCTACTTACCTCTTTCTGAAATGGGCCAAGACTATTCATTTCCCCTAACAATTTCCCTTATCCTGTGGACAAATTACTTAATAATATAGTTAAGTTTCATCTGTTCTTGGATTTTGTATAAATGAAATCATACAGAGTGTACTTTCTTGTGTCAGACTTTTTTAATAAGTTTTTTTTTAATATAACAGTGCCCCTCCTCACCAATGTAAAGATTTCGTGAAATGTTAAAAATGTATATATACATGTATATATATATTTTTATATAACAGCTTTATTGAATTTAATTCAATGCTACACTGTTCTGCCATTTAAAATGTACAATTCAATACTTTTTGGTATATTCAGAGTTGTGTAACCATCACTATGATACTTATATTTTAGAACATTCTCATACCCTCCCCCCGCAAAAAAAAACCTGTACCCATTAGCAGTCACTCCCCATTTTCCCCCAACCCAACACCCTCTCCTGCTGCCCTAGGCAGCCACTAATCTACTTTCTGTCTCTATGGATTTGCCCATATATTCTGGATATTTCCTATAAGTGGAATCTTTCAATATGAGATCTTTTGTGACTGGCGTCTTTTCACTCAGCATAATGTTTTCAAGGTTCTTCCATGTGGCATGGTGTATCAGTACTTCATTCCTTTTTGTGGCCAAATACTATTCCGTTGTGTGTTTGGTTTTTAATGCAGAAAAACATCCTGGTAGATTATGGCCTCCGAAGAATCACGTTCCTGATTGCCCAGCAGGTCAGTCGATTCTCAGTGCGTGTGTGTGAGTCTTTTCCATCCTTCAAGACTCAGAACCATCGATTTGACGTTTCCTCTGTAGGCTGGGGTGGAAGAGATCAATTGCTAGAGAAGAGACGGCTTTCCACATGATTCATTCTAGAAGCAGACTGGGTTGTGGTTAAAAATCACAAAGCAAGTAGACAAATTTTTAAATGAGTCTTGCTTGATTTAATTGTCTTTTTATGGATTTCTTTTTGCAGAAAGAATTTCCCAAGTTTTTCACTTTCAGAGCAAGAGATGAGGTATGACGAAAAGCGACGGTATTGTTCTCTTCTCTGGCATCTCTGATATTTAGGGAGAATAAAAGTCCCCAGTCCTTAAGGTATCTCCATATTCTAGAACATGCCACTTCTGTGTAGACCTCGGCCTTCCTCTGGGATTGTATTTCTGACGAGAGCCCCCTGTTTCCATGTAGAGCTCAGACCTCAAGCTTCCTGCCCTCAGCCTTTGCTACAGGTTTCTCTCTCCCATGGATAATTTTGTACTTGCTGGTGTACTCAGGAAGATGGTTCTCCTAACCTCTTCTTATGTTCTACTGGAACAGTGGTTGGCACACTGTGGCTTGCAGGCCGGCTGCCTGTTTTTATAAACAGTTTGATTGGAACATGGCAGTTCCCATTGGATCACGTATTGCTCACTGTGGCTTTCTTGCCCCAGTGCCAAATCGAGTAGTTGTGACAGATCATCTGTCCTCTGGCCCTTTAGGAAAAAGTTTGCTGATCCTTGTTGTAGAACAGGTGGGCTTGTTCCCAGCGTGGATTCAAGACGTCACCAAATTCAGTACTTTGTATTTTAATTTATCCAAAGCCTTACTTTTCTCGTTAAGACCCATCTTTTCTTGAGGTTCTTCATTTTCTCTTCAGTTCTGTATCCAGCACCGTCAGTCGCTGTCAGTTTCCACAAAGAAATCAGGAGTTAGTGGCCTCTGGAGAGATGCTCTGTGCTGTGACAGATAGAGAACAGCCTGGTTGTGCTGGCAGGTGCAGGGGACGAGCGAGGCTCACCCGGGAGTCGAGAGGCTTATGCCAGCACATCGGATTGCAGTGCCCATGGCTCTCCTCTGGCCCTTTGCAAAATCCCAAATCTCTTGAGCCCTGGGGTTGCTCACAATTAGGTGACACAGTGAATGCTACATTCCTGAGTGCTGAACTCAGAAACACTGGGGGTCTACAGGGCAGGGTGTGGATCAAGCAGGTGTGCTGCCCATGTCAAACTCCATGTGTCTGTCTGTCTTCTCTCTGGTTGGCCCCCAGTTTGCGGAAGATCGCATTTACCGTCACCTGGAGCCCGCCCTGGCCTTCCAGCTGGAGCTCAGCCGGATGCGCAACTTCGATCTGACCGCCGTGCCCTGCGCCAACCACAAGATGCACCTGTACCTGGGTGCTGCTAAGGTGAAGGAGGGTGCCGAGGTGACGGACCACAGGTTCTTCATCCGCGCCATCATCAGGCACTCGGACCTGATTACAAAGGTAGAATGCCGTGGTGGGGTTCTTTCTCCCTCTGAGCTTGTCCCTCACGCCTGCCCTTCGTTGAGTTCCTGCTCTGTGCCAGGTCCTGGGCTGCACACTGGGGATCACAGGGTGCCCTGGGCACACACAGCTCTGCCTTTGTGACACTCCAGTTTGGAGGGGGGAGGTGGACAGCAAAGTGGCCTCTTTTCATGTCCCGGGTGGTGGCACCTGGATCCATTTCTTGTGTCATGTGGATCTCTCCACATGAGAAGAGAATTGAGAGCATAGAAAGATACTGGTTTGTTAAGGGAATTTCTTGTGTTTGCTGGTGGAGCGCATGATCATTTTTCATTGATTCTTGCACTTAGAAAAGTAACCCATGATTATGTGTGAAAATTTCAAACAATACTGAAAACTGCCTTTAAAAATCAAGGAGAAAACCCAGAATCCTGCCACCCAGGGGTGAGCCCTGGGTTTGTGACCCTTTCCAGGCCTAATTCCATACATAGAGTTATGGGTGTAATGTTACAGATAGGAGCTCAGCGTGCACAAATCACTTGAAGGCTAGTTTTTTACTGGTCAGTTACTTGTAGACCTCTTTCCATGTTAATGAAGGTGATCTACTTCATGGTATTTCCTTGCATGGAGGTACCATGTGTGTGCAATGTTTTTTTACTAATCCTCCATTGATGGAAAGCTAATCTCAGTTTCTTGCTGCTTCAGTCAACTAGATATTTTAATAGGTTTTATTATTATTCAGGTATGATAAGGCCAACAGATCAGGAGACACATGCCATTGAGAAGATAGTTTGTTACCCACAGTCCCCAACAGGAGGGGGCACGCCATGCCATGGGGGCCACATGGGGAAGCACCAGGGTCAGTCAGGAGGCAGAGGGAGAGGGGGAAACCGTGGGTGAGAGGCTGTATGGTGGTTGCTGCAGGAAGGAATGGGTGAGGCAGGGTAGGCAGGCTTGTGATGGGCCTGTTTGAATAATTTCAGCAGGTTCTGGAGCACTGGGGCTGTTCCTGGTTGTCTAGTACCTGGCCCTGGGTGACTGGGGCAGGGGGATAGTGGCCCAGAGTGTGAGAACCCTGTATAGGAGGTGGTTGGGGGGTGGGCTCTGGATGGGTTGGTTTGCATTTGAAAAGCGTGCTCATGGGTGAGTTGTTTACTCTCTGTAGGAATTGGCTCACCCTGGGAGGGGCTGTCCCTCAGGGTCCGCAAGGCCTCAGTTGTCAAAGCATCAGAGTACAGAAGATAAGACGTGGTGCCCACACTGGGCAGCCTTTGACATCCCTGCACCTTGGCAGGCAGGGCTCCGCTGTTCTCCCCTGGCTCTCCTTTTGGAGGAGGAGAACGTGTTCTGTTCCCGCTGCCTCTCTGAGGCCAGGTTTCTGGCCACCCTGGAGCGGGCCCTGCGTCCCTTGCCTCAGCGGCTGCCCCTCCCACCTTTGGCAGGAAGCGTCCTTCGAGTACCTACAGAATGAGGGTGAGCGGCTGCTCCTGGAGGCCATGGACGAGCTGGAGGTGGCGTTCAACAACACCAGCGTGCGCACCGACTGCAACCACATCTTCCTCAACTTCGTGCCCACCGTCATCATGGACCCCTTCAAGGTCTCGCCTCTGGGGACTCTCCCCGGGATCTGGGTTCAACTTCTCCGGGACTTCTGCTTCTTCACACCATGCTGCTTGGGGTATTGTCTCCTGGCGCTCGAGACCCAAGTTCCAGGGTGCATATGTGTGTGTTTGAACCTCAGTTGCTGCAGGCAGAGAACAAAGCTTCTGTCGTTTAATTCTAGAGCCCTGTTTTAGCACTGCCCTTAGGACTAGCCGTGTTCTGATGTTCACCCTCCGTGGACATGCTTTACTTGTAGGACAACATGGATGTCCAAATGTCTTCAAAACAAAATTTCGTCCTCTCCCTGGTTCCAGGCTCTGTGGGGGACTCCATTGGCTGGTTCTTCATGAGCGGCCAGAGTTTATGGTGGTGATTCTGGGACGGAAGAAGTCCTGGTACATCAGCCTGGCATCTGTGGGGTGCAGAGGGCCCATGCCGATGCCCCAACTCCACTAGTCCACATAGTTCCCCGAAGAGAAAATGCACAGACTTGAGATGCATGATGGAGATAAAGACAGTGTAACATAGGAGCACCAGCTTTGTCACTTACCAGCTTCAGTTTCCTCATCTGTCAGTGGGGCATAAGAATGCCAGCCTCTCTGAGTAATTACGAGGATGAAATGAGATCATGAGCTTTAAATGCTTAGCCTGGTGCCTTTGGTGATTATTAGCTAGTTGCTGGATACATACTATGTCCCAGGCATTTTGCGTTCAGTGTGTCTCATTATTCCATTATTATCAGCTCTAGAAATAGTAGATACGAGTGCAGAGTGGGCTCTGAAGTTGGTATTGCTGTGGTTTGGGGCAGATCGAGGAGTCGGTGCGCTCCATGGTCATGCGCTATGGCAGCCGGCTCTGGAAACTCCGCGTGCTACAGGCTGAGGTGAAGATCAACATCCGCCAGACCACCGCCGACAGTGCTGCTCCCATCCGCCTGTTCATCACCAACGAGTCAGGCTACTACCTGGATATCAGCCTCTACAGAGAAGTCACTGACTCCAGATCTGGAAACGTAAGGCTGGGCGGGGCACTGGAGGTGTGAGTCCCAGCAGAGGCTGCTTGGGAGAGCAAGATGTCGGTGAAAACGGCATTCGGTGGCTGCCTTGCCTTGCCAAGCCGGATTAGGGCAGCTCCTCTGAGCTTTATGATAAACGTGTTAGCTTCTGAATGCCAGTTGTTCATTCCCCTGGGAAGGAGAGTGACTCCAAAGTTTAATCCATTGTAGGACCATATTTGGGATAAGATGTGGATACCATGCTTGATTATAGTGCAGCTTCCAGGCTGGTTCACTTAGGGAAATAGATATTTTCCCCAGCTGTATTTTAGAACAGACTTTCATGAAGTGAATCAAGTATTCTATTCACTGCCATTTTTATATATAACTTTTTATTTTGAAATAAAGACTCAAGAAGTTGCAAATGTAGTGCAAAGAGTTCCCATGTACCCTTCACCCAACTTCCCAAAGATAACATCTTACGTAACCGTAGGATGTTGTCAAAATGGGAAATTGACACTGGTACAGTACCGTGAACTCAAATGCGGATGTTATTCAGATTTCACCACTTTATATGCGTGTGTGTGTGTGTGTGTGTGTGTGTGTGTGTGTGTGGTACTCTGATAGTTCCATTTCTGGCGCCCTGCTCCCCCATCTCCCGCTGTCCCTCCTTGTTCTGGTGGTCCACAGTGGCAGAGAGGAATATGTGCTCTCCCAGGCACTGACTTTGTTGTGTGATGTGACGTGCTTTGCTTCCCCGCATTGTGTTTTCATTGAGGACTGGTAGAAGTAAATCGGGCAGGAGTGTGGTTCCCTGAGACTTGCCTCCCTCACTCTCTGTTTGCCTCTCCTTCTGGTCCAGATCATGTTTCACTCCTTTGGCAACAAACAAGGGCCCCAGCACGGGATGCTGATCAACACTCCCTACGTCACCAAGGATCTGCTTCAGGCCAAGCGGTTCCAGGCCCAGTCCCTGGGAACCACCTACGTGTACGACTTCCCGGAAATGTTCAGGCAGGCAAGTCCTGCGGTCAGACGCAGCACCCCCTCCCGGGTCCCTGAGGGACTCCACCAGAGCCACGCCACTCTGTCCTCAGTGACTCTTCTGAAGTCCCCAGTCTAGAGAACAAGGTCCTCACGAAGAAAAGGAAGTTAATATTGGCAATGACTTCATAGTATTTTTTTCTAAAATAAACCTAATTTTATCCTAATAATGAAAGTAATATAATATAGAAACTTCAGAAAATACAGGACAGTGGAAAGAAGAAAAAAGTAACTCATAGTTCCATGTCCTAAAGACAGCTTGCTTAACGTTTTGATGTGTTTCCTTCTGGTCTTTTAAATACTTGTTTATTAAGTACCTGCTACTTGCCAGGCACCATTCTAACGGTAGCTAGACCATGAGGAAGAGGATGGAGTCACTGCCTTTGAGGAATTTTTAGTCTACCTTGTTTTTTTATTTTTGGCTGAGGAAGATTCACCCTGAGCTAACATCCATTGCCAATCTCCCTCATTTTGCTTGAGGAAGATTCTCCCTGAGCTAACATCTGTGCCATTCTTCCTCTGTTTTGTATATGGGTCGCTGCCGCAGCATGGCTACCAACAAGTGGTGTAGGTCCACGCCTGGGAACTGAACCCGGGCTGCCGAAGCAGAGCGCGCCAAACTTAACCACTAGACCGTGGGGCCAGCCCCTAGTCTACTTTTAAAAAATAATGTTTGTTATGTTTTTCTGATTATTAAAGCATACATTGGAAATTATAGAAAAATAGGAATAACCAAATACAGTTTCACCCATATGTAATCTATCCACCATTGATGACTGCAATAACATTTTAGTGTGTTTCCTTCAGATATGTTTTCTATGCCTTTATTTTTCTATGTACCAGGGCCTTCAAAGTAGACTGAACACACTGACATTGGTGACATGGATGTCTCTTTTCATCCCCTCCATTGCATTGTGGATGATGTTCATGAAACTGAGGTCATGGACCTTCCGCTGTAGGCAGGAAGGCATCAGTTCACTTCAGGCGTAAGAGATGCAGAATAGGAGGAAAAGCTGCTGTCTAGGGTCATTCAGGCATGGGTTTGAATCCTGGATCTGTCCTTTGCTTCCTGTGTGTTCCTGGGCAAGTTCCTTTACCTCTCTGGGCCAGTTTCCTCCTCTGTAAAATGAGGATAATAATAGTACCTAACTCATAAGATTCTTAGGAGAAATATATATAAAATATTCAGTAGGTGCCTAATAAATGGAAACTTGTATGATTAAGAATGCCATAGTCTGTATTCTTTTCCTCTGACCTCAGGGTCATAGGGTAAGAAACAGACAAATCAGGAGCAAATCCATCTCCTTTCTTTCAGATACAGGAACAGAATACTAAATTTGAAAACTTAGACAAAATGGAAAATTTCCAAGAAACATATATCCTATCAAGAGGGACTCAAGAAGAAATAGAAAAGCTAAATAGATTATAAGCATTAAAGACGTTGAATTAATAGTTTAAAAAGTCTGTCCACTAAAATTGGGCCCAGATGATTTTACAACAATTTCTGTCAAACCTTCAAGGAACATATAATTCCCTTTGTATACAAGTTGTTTAGAGAGCAGGAAAAAAGGGGATGCTTCTTAACTCATTTTATCAGGTTATTACTACCTTAATATTAATCCCAGATAAGAACCTTAGGAGAAGGGAAACTTATCTCATTTATGAACATGGACACAAAAATCATTAAAAAAAATTAGCAAATGAAATCCAGAAACAGTTTTTTAAAAGAATTTAGACCAAGTAGGGTTTATCTTGTGACTTCTTATATGATTTGATATTAGGAATTCTATTCATATAATTTACCAGATTAATAGAATAAGAAAAAACTTAAATTTCTAAATAGGTACAAAGAAAGTATTTGACAAGACAGCATCTATTTATAATAAAAACTTCTAGTAAATTAGGAATAGAAAGGAATTTGTTTATCTTGACAAAAGATATCAACCTGAAATTAATAGCACCTGTTGGGGGCCGGCCCCGTGGCTTAGCAGTTAAGTGCGCACGCTCCGCTACTGGCAGCCGGGTTCGGATCCCGGGCACGTACCGACGCACCACTTCTCCGGCCATGCTGAGGCCGCATCCCACATACAGCAACTAGAAGGACGTGCAACTATGACATACAACTATCTACTGGGGCTTTGGGGAAAAAAAGGAGGAGGACTGGCAATAGATGTTAGCTCAGAGCCGGTCTACCTAAAAAAAAAAAGGAGGATTAGCATGGATGTTAGCTCAGGGCTGATCTTCCTCACACACACACACACACAAAAAATAGCACCTGTTGGGGAAATATCAGAAATATTCTTTTCAAAGACAAGTACAGGACAGAAATATCCATTATCACTACTTCTGTTCAACATTTTTTATTGGAGTTCCTGGCCAGTGCAAAAAGACAAGAAAAAGAAATAAAAGGTATAAAGACTGGAAAGAAAAAAGCAAAATGTTGCTTTTTGCAGATGATAGAAATGCCTATATAAGAAATCCAAGAGACTCCATGGAACCAATTAGATAATACAGCAAGACTGCTAGATACAAGATCAGTATACAAAAATTAATTGCATTCTCATAGACCAGCAGTAATTGTAAAATGTGGTTGGAAAAAAAATGCTGTTTACAATATTAAGCTCAATTATAAGGTTACCTGGGACTAAATCAAAAAACATACAAGACCTTTATGGAGAAAATTTTAAAACTTTATTGAAATACTTTAAGCCTAAATAAACGGAGAGCTATGTCACGCTCATGAATGATGGGAAGATTCACTATTGTAAAGATATTAGTTCTGCCTAAATTAATAAATTCCGTATAATTCCAGGGGTTTTTTGGTGAAACTTAAAAATTCATATGGAAAAGCAAAAGCCCATGAACAGCAAAAACAATTTTGAAAAAGAACAAAGTCAAGAGGGCTCGTCTTAGCAGATGTCCTTAATTTTAAAGCAGCAATGTACTTAATACATTGTAGTGTTATGGTAATAGAGCTAGACAAATAGACCCACAGAGTACAATAGAGCTGAGACTCAGACCCACTCATAAACAGAACCTCGACAAAATGCAAGGGGGGATTGTGAATCAAGGGAATGAACCCCACTAAAAGGTATAAGGAAATTGCTTATCTAATCAGAAAAAATAAATTTTGATTTCTACCTCATCCAGCATACAAAAATAAATTTCAAGAGGATTAAACCCACTACGAGTCAGTTAAAAGCATAAATTTTAGAGGAAAAGACCCACAAATTTGATTACATTAAATTTTAAAAGTTCTTTATGCAAAAGAGAAAAGATAAGTGCCAGATTGGGAGAATATGTTTCGATGCCTACTACCAGCAAGGGATTAGAACTAGATGATCTACAGAGCACTAATAAATCAATTAGAAAAAGACAAGCAAAACTATAAAAAATATAGGGAGGAGTTATAAACAGGAAATTGGCAAAAAAATAAACTCACCTGTTCAATAAACCTCACTTGGAGTCCTGTGGAGTACAGATCAGGACCACAATAAAATTTCACACCAAGAAGATGGATTCAAATATTTGACAAAACTAAACATTGGCAAGTATATGGAGCAAAGGAGTTCTTACACATTCTTACTGGAACTGTAAAGGACTTCCCAACATTTGATAATATCAAGTAAATTTCAAGTGTCACATGCTCTACGTCCAGGCAATTCCACTCTTAGGTATATACCTGGTGAACTTCTCACCCATGTTTGTAAAGGACCATAAGAATGTTCATTATAGCATTATTGGTAATACTGTAGAACTGTAAACAACCCAAATGTTCATAAAAAGAGTTATGAACACATAAATTGTGATATATGGAAATAGAGAAAATGAATAAACCAGAGCTAAATTGATCAATATGGATAAATCTCCCAAACATATAGGAGAGTTGAAAAACCGAGTTGCGGATGGACATGTCCAGTGCAATACAGTTTTATGTAAAGTTGAAGTCATGCAGAATAATACTACATGTTTTAAATGTGTGCGTACATGAGGAAATAAAAATCTACAAACATGCGCAGGGCTGGTAGACAGAAATTCAGGATAATGGTTACTTGCGGGTAGGTGGATGGGGAGGGGTACACCAGGGGCTTCACCCGCATTTTTCATATTTCTTTTAAAAAAATCGTAAGCAACTATGGAAAAATTATGATTTGACAACACTACGAGATGGGTGCTTGGGTATTTATTTATTATTCTGCATGTTTTTCTGTGCGCTTTAAATAGTTCACGATTTAAAAAGAAAGAACTAGAAAATGTGCCTCCCTGCTGATGACTTCAAGGTTTGCTCTTTCCTCCCCTCTCCCCAGGCTCTCTTTAAACTGTGGGGGTCCCCAGACAAGTACCCCAAAGACATCCTGACATACACTGAGCTAGTGCTGGACCCTCAGGGCCAGCTAGTGGAGATGAACCGACTTCCTGGTGGAAACGAGGTAAGAACTCAGCAGAGCCCGGTCCCTGGCTGGACTCACCCTTTCAGAAATCTCCCCCTGAGGAAGCAAACCTGTTTTCCTTGGGCTTTCATCTACTCGCCAGGTGGGCATGGTGGCCTTCAAAATGAGGTTTAAGACCCAAGAGTATCCCGAAGGGCGGGATGTGATTGTCATCAGCAACGACATTACCTTCCGCATCGGATCCTTTGGCCTGGGAGAAGACTTGCTGTACCTGCGGGCGTCCGAGCTGGCCCGGGCAGAGGGCATCCCCAAAATCTACCTCGCAGCCAACAGCGGGGCCCGCATCGGCCTTGCAGAGGAGATCAAACACATGTTCCAGGTGGCTTGGGTGGACCCCGAAGACCCCCACAGAGTACGTCACAAAGCGGGTGTGGTGGTAATTCCACTCAGCTGGCACTACATTTTCAGTGGGGGTCGTAGCACCCACAAGGGGGTAAAACAATCTTATTACATACTCTTCATATATAAAGTACAGGTATCCATACAGTATATAAACAGGCATACAGTGTGGTATATTAAAATTTCATGGGAGGGGATGGCAATTAGGAAAATATGTCTAAAAGGGCTCCTTAGGGGAACGATAATGAAAAAATGAGCTAATGAGCTCATATATATGTTATATATAGTGTATATATTAGTGAGCTAATATATACTGAGCATCACCTGAATGCAGTGTACACTGAGAGTGCAAAGGTGAATAATACATAGGCCTTGTCCGCAGAGAGTTCTTAAAAATCATCCAGAGACATATAGATGCCAGCTACAATAAAAGATAAAATGAATGAGAGAAAAGACACGCGTTTTGTGATTGTGAAAATGCAGGGGACAGAGTCATTCTTTGCAACTAGAGCATGCATTCTCAAGGGGGTGATGTTTCCCCCCAAAGGGGGCAAAAATTATTCTTTTCATGTAAAAAGCATACACATACACATATAAACACACATATTTATACGTACATACACATATTACATAAACAATATATCTATAATAAAATTTTATGAGAGGAGGCTGGCAATAAAGAAAAAACAATATCTGAAAGGCTCCTTAAGGGAGGGATAATGAAAAGACGACTGAGAAACACTGCCTCAGAGAGACCAGAAAAAATGTGAGGTTGTGTTGTAAGGATGAGTGGAAAGCCCTTAGCACAGAGCAGACCTTCAGTTTATAGCTGTTGTTAATATGGTATTAACATCAGACATGTTAACATGTGAATAACACGTTGTTAACATGTTATTAACATCCGCCCCGACAGTGTTGACATTTTTTGAAAAACAGTGGCTCTCCAGTGCAGGAAACTGGGTTCAGACCTCACTCGAGTATATTTTTTTAAGGGATTCAAATACCTGTACCTGACCCCACAAGACTACACCAGAATCAGCTCCCTGAACTCCGTCCATTGTAAACACATCGAGGAAGACGGAGAATCCAGGTAAGTAACTTATCAGGCAGCTCCCTCATTTTGCCTGTGGCTAATTTCAGCTTCTAGTGGGGCATCGTCTCTTTGCCTCCTGGCTTGTGGCGATATTTTCAACAGGGTGCTGGTGTTTGTACAGTGGGACCCCTGAGCTTCCGGGCACTGATGCTTAAATACCTGGGGCATTCTCCAGGGTGAACCCATCCTTGTCTTTCCAAAATGAGTCACGCCTTTCACAAAAATTGCATATCACACAGGGAGAATTAGATTGGATTCCCTTGATGTCCTTGGAGCTGCAGGCTCACATTTTATGACCAAATTAGCCAGCCTGACGCAGTGATGATTTGGAGAGCTGGGAAGGCGTGGGCAGGGCTGGAGGCGGCTCTGTGAGAACATCAAAGGATGCCAGCTGTCTTCTCCAGGGAAAGTTGTATTTTTTTTTAGCGAGGTTGACTAAATCGTAATTTCCCAGACTGGGTTTTCTGAAATGTTAGTGGGAGGGAGGAAAAATTTCCATAGTCAAGTAAGTTTGGGAAACACAAGGTCACATGAGATCTAACTAGCATCTTTACTGCAGGCCTTCTCAGAACATTTAATGTGCTAAAGTACGTTGTGAACCTCCAACAGGGGTTAGGCTGTACAGAGTCTCTCACTTATATGGCCATGAAATCTTGACTGACGGATTGAGAACTAGCGGCTTCCCATGTATACCCCTATCTCTCTGCAGACCAAATGCTATTCTAGATTGCTTTTGGAGGAATGTGGGGTGGGGATGACATTTTATTAAGACAGCCTCCGAACGGACAGATGTCTTGGGTTGAGGGGTGGTAATTATTGATGCTGACTTTGCCCTTCTAGAAGCGTTAGGGCCAATTGTGAGGGTTCTAGATCTCGGCTTTCATTCCACCTCTGGAATGGCTTTATCGCCTTCCAGTCCGTCACGTTGCTTGTCCCTCCTGCCTCAGGTCCTGGGAAAATGCATCAGCCTTGGATTTTTCTGGACTAGATCTCAGTCTTTAACTTGTGATTGGTTTTGAAGGTATGTCATCACAGATATCATTGGGAAGGACGATGGCCTGGGCGTGGAGAATCTGAGAGGCTCAGGCATGATTGCTGGGGAGTCCTCCCTGGCTTATGAAGAGATCGTCACCATCAGCTTGGTGAGTCTCCTCCTACTTGATTTTCTTTAAGACATTTTTATTTTTATTATAGAAACTTTAAAACAGTCACAAAAGTAAAGAGAATTGATAAAGAGCCCCATGTGCTCATCACGCAGCTCCAACAATATCAGCATATAGCCGTTCTTGCATCCTTAATCTCTCTGCCCCTTGTTCTGGAATATTTTAAAGCAAACCCCCATCATATCTTTCTATTTGTAAATACCACAGTGTGGATCTTTAAGAGATAAAGACTCTCTCCCACCTTGTACATAACCATAATACTATTATTACACACAACAACATCAATGACGATTCTTTAATAGCATCAGAACCCAGTTCGGGTTCAGTTTTGTTTTTTTTGTTGTTGTTGTGAGGAAGATTGGCCCTGAGCTCACACCTGTGCCCATCTCCCTCTATTTTGTACATGGGACGCTGCCACAGCATGGCTTGATGAGCGGCGTGTAGGTCTGCACCCAGGATCCGAACCCGTGAACCCCAGGCCACTGAAGCAGAGCACATGAACTTAACCACTATGCCACTGGGCCGGGCCCTTGGCTTCAGTTTTAATAGTAATCTCAAAAATATCTTTTTATAGTTGGTTTGTTTGAATCAGAGTCCAATCTCCTCTTATTTAACAAGTATTGGCTATTTAGAAGAACTTTTGTTGGATTTTTACTGGTATTGATTATCTTGCCCCCTCCCCACTTGGGCTTTCCAAAAATATTTTCTATTTCTAATAGGAGGAGGAGGGGGAATAATACTTTTTAATGTAAACTGTCAGTCAAGACCTTGTTTTTACAGTCAGTGTTGGAGCTTCAGTTTCCAAGGTGGAGAACGCTGGCCACGAGTGTCTCCCTTAGGCTTGTTTTCTAGATGTCGTTTATATATACATTTTATATATATTTCAAAATAAAAAGATATATATGTATTTTGGAATATATAAATGATATACGTATATCTTTTATATCTATCTGTCTTTTTATTTTGAAATGGTTTAAGACTCACCAGAAGTTACAAGCTGGTATAGAGAGGTCCCATGTACCCTTCACCCAGGTTCCCGCATGACACTGTCTTATGTGACCATGATACATTATCAAAGCCAGGACATTGACATCGGCACAATACTCTTAACTCAGTACACCAGTTTCACACGCACTCCTGGCCATCCTTGTGGCTCTCGAATGACCAATCTCAGAAGAGTTACACACATGCCTCTTGAGGCAAGAACCAGCACATTCCGTGTCTGCTGTCTGTCTTGATGGCACTCTTCTTCGTTAACTGCATTCTTTCTGGATAGGAAGCCAAGGTCACGGGAGCCTGTAGAACAGGCTTTGCTCTGCTGTTTGGCCCCGAATCAGGTTGCCAGTGGCCAACCTGTAGCTTCCATTTGTGCCCAGCGAGTTCGTGGGCTGTCCCCGCGGGGGCGGACAGGGCATGCCACCCTCGGGAATCCAGAAGGGATCCTGTCTCCACAGGTGACCTGCCGAGCCCTTGGAATCGGGGCCTACTTGGTGAGGCTGGGCCAGCGAGTGATCCAGGTGGAGAACTCCCACATCATCCTGACAGGGGCAGGTGCTCTCAACAAGGTGACCTCAAGGGGCCCGTGTGGGGTGGGGCATCGATTCAACATTCCCATTGTCCCCACGTGGGGGATTTTCTCAACATGAAACCAGTTTCATACCTCCTGATGTAAGAGCTATTTTTTCCAATTTGCAGTCATCTGGGCCTCTTATGAGCCCCCAAAAAAACAGTATTAGGCTCTTCTGGTGGAACTAACTCTCTGTATTACCGACATTAAATTTTTAAAAATTATTAAAATGGCATTACACATTGCAGATAATTGAAAAATGAGAAAAAAAGTAATGTTGCCCCTATAATTTGTGTTTCACTCTCATCCTATGCCTTTACGTGGTTAGACGCCTAGTGAATGTACACTTTGCCATTCTGCTTTTTCACTGTGTTAAAACGTTTTCCACATTGCTACAAAACCTCATAATATAGTGTCTGCTAAAATCTCACTGAGGGTCTCAGAGTCTGGCCCTTGGGCCAGCAGCATCGGCATCTCCTGGGGACTTGTTATAAATGCAGATTCTCAGGCCCCACCAGCGACCTGCTGAATCAGAAACACTAGGTTGGGTTTTGCTTTTGAGATAACCAAAGTGATCAGCGGGATCACTGGTTCTCAAATTGGGCCGTGTAGTGAAATACTGATGCCCGAGTCCCAGCCCCAAAGATTCTGATGTGATTGGTCTGGGTGCAGCCTGGGCGTCAGGATTTTTGAAAGCTCCCAGGTGATTCTCCCATGCAGCCAGAGTTGAGGACCACCGAGGGAGATGATTTCCAAGCAGGTGGAAGGGCCCCTGGCTGGGCAGGACCTTGCTAACCCTGCTGCGTCAAAGCAGGTCCTGGGCAGAGAGGTTTACACGTCCAACAACCAGCTGGGTGGCGTGCAGATCATGCATTACAATGGCGTCTCCCACAGCACCGTGCCAGACGACTTCGAGGGCGTTTATACCATCCTGGAATGGCTGTCCTATATGCCAAAGGTGCAGTATGCCCCACCACCCCCCGCAGCTGGGGGCCTAGAAGACTCTGTGTCAAGTTCATCTGCTGGGTGGTGTGGGAGCGTGGGGAGCAGGCAGCACTGCACATGTGGCTGGGGGTAGTTTTTCTTTACTCCTCCCTCCTTGCCTCTCTGACACCCCGCCCTGTCCTAGCTATTCGTTGCCTTTTTTTTTTTTTTTTTTGAATGCCATTGTATGGATGTTATCTGTTGATCCTTTAGAAAGAGGTGGTGGGGCTGGTCTGGTGGCATAGCGGTTAAGTGTGCACTCTCCACTGCGGCGGCCCGGGGTTCACAGGTTCGGATCCTGGGCATGCACCAACGCACCGCTTGTCAAGCCATGCTGTGGTGGCGTCCCGTATAAAGCAGAGGAAGATGGGCACAGATGTTAGCCCAGGGCCCATCTTCCTCAGCAAAAAAAAAAAAAAAAAAAGGATTGGCAGCAAATGTTAGCTCAGGGCTAATCTTCCTCACAAAAAAAAGAAAAAAGAGAGAGGTGGCATTGCCTCTCATCAAAAGAGGTAACATTGGACAATACAAAATTCTCAAGTTTTGCAATCAGGCTGGATTCAATTCCTGGCTTCCTCCCCGGTAGCAATCAGACCTTGGGACAGTCTCTGAATCTTTCTGAGCCTCAGTATCTTCACCTGTGAAATGGGAACAACAATAGCACCTACCCCAGGGTGTTATCATGATGGTTACGTGAAATGGTGTTTAGAGCCCAACACTTGGTAGGCCCTCACTGCAGGCTACTTGTGATTGTGCTGATGAGCTAGTTCGGGTTGGGCTTCTGCTGCATAACCAGGTGTAATCATAGAGGAGAGAAGTGCAAAGAGCGGACTGCAGGCGTTATTGACAAGCCCTGGAGACTGAGCTGGAGACCTGGCTTTCTCTTCTAGGATAACCGCAGCCCCGTCCCTATCATCACACCCACTGACCCCATTGACAGAGAGATCGAATTCCTCCCATCCAGAGCACCCTACAACCCCCGGTGGATGCTTGCAGGAAGGCCTCACCCCTGTGAGTCCAAGTGCTTTGCGTGAGACGTGGGTCTTGGGTTTCTTTCTGGGCCTGGGAAAAGGAGCACATGGGTAGAAGCATGATGTTCGATCGGATATCCCCGAGGGGTGCACCTGAGATCAGAGGCAGGGGGATGCAGGAATTGAGATTTTACTCTATGAATTTCCTGAGCTCTTGACCAAGAAGGGGTGGGAACAGCCTCCGGTTTCTGGAGCTGATGGATGGAGGTGAAGGGCAACAGAGGTTGAGGCCTCTCTCCCCAAGCTGCCCCAGGGTTACGCAGGTGGTAAGTCCAGTGCTGAAACGTGAGAGCGTCAAAGAAAACACTGCCTCTCCCCAGCCCTCTCGCTCTTTCTCTAGTTGGCTAAGCCTTAATAAAGTAATCTCCGTGAGTTTACCCAGGACAGGCAACTTAGCCTCCTCTACACACAGACACACGCATACACATGTGCAGACACATGTGTAGAGGTGCACACACACGTGCGATCACACACACAAGCTTGCACACACACATTCTCTCTGTCTCTCTGAAAGGGGCAGATTGGTCTCCTGGAGGTATATGATTACATTCTGAGCAACCAGACCACAGCCGGAAAACTGAGCTCCCCCCGTCACCATAATCCCGAGTCTAGAATTTCACATGCTGCCAACCTTAGAAATCGGCCTGCTCGTCCAGCTGCGTGGTGCAGGAGACGCGCCCATCAGGAGCGTGCCAGGCTCTCCCTGCAAAAGAAGCCCCGTGGCTTGCTTCTCTCTTCTCCATTTCTCTTGGGCTTTCTCGCCTGTGAGCACTGAGGGGGCTTGCTTTATCTTGATTAAAAGATGTCTGATTGATTACCGACGGTTTTCTCCGTCTAGTCAGGCCAGTCCTCTGGCAGACACTGAAGTTGGGCTGCTTCATTCCCAGGAGCCCAACCTCCCATACCGCAGCTTGAGACCCCTTGTGCTGCCTGGCTTCTCTGGTCCAAACCAGTCATTTACACCACGGTGTGATTCGAGTCACCATTGCCTCTCCAGGGATGGTGGTAGTTGGCATCCTCGTATTCTCTCTCTCTGGGAAATTGAAGACTTTCTTCCCAGTTACATGGTTATTAAGCTGCAGCCAGCAGGTTGGGGATGAGTTTTTTGGGGCAGGTGGTACCTTCCTGAAATCTCTCCTTCCGAAGGTGTTCATCAGCTCTCTTTGCCTTGTGGGAAGAAAAGGCAGAGACCATGACTAGGACCTCTGTGTGTTTGACGTTGGCGGGAGTTGATGTAGTTGGATGTTCCATATGCACTGAATTCCTGACTTGGTGTCTTTTCTGAAGCCCTGTTTTTTTGTTGTCTTTTTTTGGAAGGCAGTTGGGATCTGTGTGGTTTTCCAGGGAAAAAGGTCTTTGGGCTGTCAAGATCAGGCTGTCCTTAGAGAGAATGCAGGGCAGTCTGCCCCTCCAAGTGGACCCTGGGGCCCCTAATCAACCCAGCCCCTCAGCCTGGGCTTCTGTCCTTCTGCCCACAGCTCTGAAGGGATCCTGGCAGAGTGGATTCTTCGACCAGGGCAGTTTCAAGGAAATCATGGCGCCCTGGGCCCAGACTGTGGTGACGGGAAGAGCAAGGTAACTTGCACAATGGGGCAGGCTGCACACACCTGGCCTCCCCAGGCATTGGGGCTCCCAGGTGCGAGGCCAGGTGATTCATTCCTCCCAGATGGCCCCCGGGCTCACTTTCTTCTTGGCCCCAGGATTTTCTGAAAGAAAAACCAGTTTGGAGGATGGTTTTCTGGATGATGAACTTCTTTATAAAGTCTGGATTTGTCTGTGGCCTTAGGAGTCATCTCTGCCAACTTCTTGCTGGGGCCGGGACCCTTGTCTTAGAGTTCTCCCCTGGGGCAGGGCTCCCCAGCCACAGGGACCGCAGACCCCTTTGAGAATCACAAGGTGGCCCTGGGTGCTCTCCCCAGAAAACGGCACAGACACTCAAAACTGTGAAGCCCATTTCAGGAGGGCCACAGGCAGGCAGCCCTGTTGTGTGCCACAGCTGGTGGAAGGCGTAACTGCTCGAATGCTTGCCACTGAGCCGCTCGCCCCTCAGCCGGGTAGCCCTCATCTTTTTAGACGGCTCCAGCTTCCCAAAAGTTGCTCCCTGGAAGGAGCCCAAAGCAGCATCCTCGTAATCTACCACTCGGGTTCCTGGCGTGATGTGGTTGCTGCCAGTCCAGACTCTGGAGCTGGACCTGAGGTCAATGCCCTGCTCTGTCACTTGCCCTCTCTGGGCCTGCACCTCCTCATCTGTAGCTGCTGGCCACATGTGACAATTCAAATGTAAATGAGTTAAGTTGAAAGAGGGTGACGTATTCAGTTCCTCGGTGGCACTCGCTGCATCTCGTGTGCTCAGTAGCCACGTGCAGCTCACGGCTGCTGTACCGGACAGCGCAGATAGAGAACATGGCCAGCATCCCAGAAAGTTCTAGTGGACGGCGCTGCTTCAGTCCCTGCACCGGCCTGACCCTCCCCCCACCACGACAGCTGTTGCCCCAAGAAGGGCTCCGTCCAGCAGGCCCTTGCCAGCTTGTCGGGGCCTCGTACTGCTTGGCAGCTGCGGCTTTGCCTGCCCGTAGAACAAGCTGCCGGAGCGCAAACAGCCTTCTCCTCTGTATGCCCTCGCCCGGGCCATCGTGCCCCCCCAGACGCCCGTGGAATGCCAGCAGCGCTGGCTGGACCCCTCTGCCCCGAGCCCGCGGGGGTGCCGCCCAGCGCCCGGCTCACCTGTGCTCCGCCTTGCAGGCTGGGGGGCATCCCTGTCGGAGTGATCGCTGTGGAGACGCGGATGGTGGAGGTGGTGGTGCCTGCAGACCCTGCCAACCTGGATTCCGAGGCCAAGGTGAGGGGCCCGGGCTCCGGGGATGCTCTTTAGCTGGCCCACCCCACGGGAGTGGGTCCTGCGTGGTCACATGCCTGCCGGCAGCACTCTCTCTGTGGGGTGCATAATGTTCCCTGCTCTGTTCCTTCTTCCTCAGAGGATGACAGGGCTCTAGGAATGCCTCCTGCCTTTCGCCCCGCCCCTGTCGCTGTGTCTAGGGTGAACCAAGGCACATACTAGGAGGAGCTCAGAAGTCGGAGGGCGGGTACCAGGACTGGCTTTGCCACTGATGCAGTGTGGCCTAGACTAGCTTGGGGCATTTCTGAGCCTGTGAATGGGGCAACAGGAACCTCCTTGGGCTGCAGTGTGAGGGTCCTTAGCAGAGCTTTCGGCCCTCCCTGAGCCCTGGCTCTGGTGTTGGTGCCAGCGCCAGTCAGATTGCCCACCCGTCCCCGTGTCCTGGGGCTGCTCTTGCACAGAGGAGTCTGATCCAGCCAGGCCCCTCTGTCCTCCAGATAATCCAGCAGGCGGGCCAGGTGTGGTTCCCAGACTCGGCCTACAAGACGGCCCAGGCCATCAAGGATTTCAACCAGGAGAAGTTGCCCCTGATGATCTTTGCCAACTGGAGGGGATTCTCGGGTGGCATGAAAGGTAAAGCCGCCTTCCCGTGGGTGCCCCGAAGCTGTGGGGTCCGTACCCAGGACAGGGCAGCCCCCTCGGGGTGGCGATGAGGTCTTTCTATGTATGGTCCCATCGTTATCTTAGGCAAGTCCCCCCACACCCTGAGGACGGGAGCAGTTCAGGTAACATCAGCCAGTTTTACGGATGAGGAACTGAGGGTTCTGGGTGTGACTTGCCGGAGGTCACACTGTGAGTGGCAGGGCAGGGAGGGGCAGCCCCAGGAAGCTGCCCAGTGACCTGGGCAGTCACCTCCTGGCTCGGTAAGATGAGAAGGTGCTCCTGCCCTGCCTTCCTTAGAGAGCCGCTGAACCTCAGTGACCCGACAGTTGTGCAAGCACTTTTTAAGCCACCGAGCACACTTCGAGATTCAGTGGCTCTCAGCGGGGTGTTGAGGAAAGAGCCAGACTGGGAGGTGGGCAGGCCTGGTGTGAATTCTTAATAGCTGGGTGACCTCTCTGAGCCTCACTTTCCCTCCTCTGTGAAGGGGGTAAGAATAGGACCAACCTCAGAGGGTCGAGGTGAGGTGTTGATGAGCTGATCACAGGCACCTGCTGTTTGCTTCAGTGTGGTTATGGTGGATTTTATTATTGTATTATTGTTAGCACCTGGGGTGCCTGGCACCTGGAGGAGTGCCTCTCGGTGGAAAATAAGGGCCACGCTACCTGTGGGCAGGAGGCAAGGGCCTGTGTTATTGTTGGGGAGGGTTCCATGTGCTAAAAACAGCGAGACTGGGCAGGGGCAGTCAGGCATCTCAGAGTCAGAGCAGAAGGAATCTTAGAGCTCATTTCTTTCTACGCCTCCTTTTACAGATGGGGACACTGAGACCCAGACAGAGTGACTTGTCCAAGGTCACATGGCCACTTAGCGCGAGATCTGTGCACGGGCCGGCTCCTGCCTCCCAGCCCAGTGCTGTTTTTCTGGCGCCATGAGGCCTCCCAGCTGAACACACTCTCCCAGGACCCCCAGGACAACGAAGGCTGTAGGCTTTGCGTGTAGATGAGCGCGGGGGCCTGAGATGCCTCACCCGGCGGCTGCTTTGTTTTTCAGACATGTACGACCAGGTGCTGAAGTTCGGAGCCTACATCGTGGATGGCCTCAGGCAGTACAGACAGCCCGTCCTGATCTACATCCCGCCCTACGCGGAGCTGCGGGGAGGCTCCTGGGTGGTCCTGGACTCCACCATCAACCCTCTGTGCATAGAAATGTACGCGGACAAAGAGAGTAGGTGGGTGTGCCAGCCTCATCCCGGCTTAGCTTTTTCTTGTTCTCACTCCCAGTCCTGAGGACCTATGACCTTTGAGCCACTGGCTGGGGAGAACAGGGGTGTTCTGAGTTTCTGAAAGACGGAGGGTTTCCAGTTTTAGCACACTGATCTCAAACTAGCACACCGTGTGTGATTGGATTTTCTCAGTAGAGTTAGTGGCTGGAGCCCGGAGGTGGCGGAGGAGTTGTTGCCTGTTTTTTCATAACTTATACTCACCTGCTTCCCAAGAAGGTTTGCAATCAAAAAATAAGGAAAGACCAAAGCACCTGAGCTTCCTGGCAGCCAGGATGAAAATGGAAATATGAGCAATCATGTAGTTCTCACTAGACTCTGAGTCTCTCCCAAAGCTGAGTTCCTGTAGGGGCTGTGTTTCATTCAATTTCATAACCCAGGGCCTAGCATAGGGCCTGACTCCTAGTGGGTTGTTGGGAAATACTGGCCAACAAATGCCTGAATGAATACTTGCATGAAAAGATACCAGTTCTTCAGGGGAGAGAAACCATCTTGGCACTTTTTTTAGGAGAATTTATCGCAGGAACTCTTACAGAAAGGATGATGACAATAATACTTGCAACATAGTGTTTGAATGCCTTCTAAGTGAAGACTCGATGCTATGTGCTGTGCAGGATGTAAAGGCCTCAAGAGTAGTTCTGCCCAAAATATTGGCCCCCTTCCTGTGTGCACTCCCTTACTCACTCGTTAATTCAATGGATGTTTATTGAGTACCTTCTGTGTACCAGGCATTATGCCAGGCATTGTGAGAGGGTGCAAATGAGCCCAACCTGTCCTGCCTTCATTGCACCTAGACCCTCCTGGGGGGATGCTGAGGTCACTCCTCCAGGAAGACTCAGGACACGAGTAGGCTCAAATGGGGTCATTGTTAACTTTTCACTCTGGCCACCAGGAAGCTCAGAGCTACATATAGTATTCATCAGGGCTTCCGAGCTGTCAAAAGAAAGGGGGCTGGGGGAGACTGAGGAGTGAGTGAGAGGGTTGGATATGGGAGGGCAGCTCACATGGGACCACATTGGGCTCCTCACTGAGTCTTTGTGAGCTTTAAGGAAATCAGAAATAGTACCCTGGCTCTAGGAGAGCAGAAGTTAGGAAAGTCAGAAAGATCTGTGGCTGAAGAGCAGCAGGGTTATGCTGTTCTGGAGAAAGTCAGACTCTCTTGGAGTTGAAAGGGCCCCCCAGAGTTCAGAAAACTTTATTTTAAAAAGTTGGCTCAGTCTCTGGTTTTATGGATATAGAAACAGATGACCAGAGAGAGGAAATGGACTTTCCCAAAGTCACACAGTGAGTCAGTGAAGGAGCTGAGAACTGACCTCCAGATTCCTGACTCTCTTGCCTCCACCCCCCCGAGTCTCCTGGCTGTTGCTTGCTCAGGACCCATCCCCGCCTGTTCTTTTTTCAGGGGGGGTGTTCTGGAGCCGGAGGGAACAGTGGAGATTAAGTTCCGAAAGAAAGATCTGATAAAGGCCATGAGAAGGATCGACCCAGCTTACAGGAAGCTCGTGGAACAGCTAGGTGAGAGGGTCCGAGATGCGTCACCTCTCGGAGGCCAAAAGAGGCCCAGGCCGCTCCGTCATTGGAGGTTTCTATGTCAGAAATAAAGTGAAGACATACCAAAACACAGCTACAAAAATTGTGAGATATTTTAAATGTTCACATACAGCAAATCAACCCCTTTAACATTAAAACATTATATACAGGGGCCTGCCTGGTGGTGTAGTGGTTAAGTTGGTGAGTTTTGCTTCAGCAGCCCAGCGTTCATGGGTTTGGATCCCAGGCACAGACCTACACACCGTTCATCAAGCCATGCTGTGACTGTCCCACATACAAAATAGAGGAAGACTGGCATGCTTGTTAGCTCAGGGACAATCTTCCTCACACACAAACACAAAATATATATACATATGTATATATATATGCATACACACACACACTACCTTAGTGAATTTATTTCTCAGCACACACAAAATATAACAGTTGAAACATTTTGGGCCAATGAGGAACATCAGAATTTTCATAGCAAAATGTCCGTTTAGAATTTCTACTTAGACATCAAGTCTTTTACCAATTTTGTTTGAGTGAGAGCTTTGTTTCCCTTGTAACCCTAGATGGTAATTCTCTTTAAAGGTCCATACTAGGTGGAAATGTCTTTATAACTGTGCTATTCACAAGATTTAAGATATGATGATGAAGATGATGATGTGTGTATAATTTCTCTGGTTTGGTATCAGTGTAATGCAGATTTCACAGAATGAGCTTGGAAGTGTTCCCGCCTTCTATTTGCTGTTTTTCTGCACTGGCATGATTTCTTTAAACCTTTGATAGGCGGTTTCTAACTACAAATTCAACTTCTTTATTACATATAGGACTGTTCAGTTTATCTGTTTCTTCTTGGTGAGCTTTGGTAGTTCGTGTATTTCAAGGAATTTGTCTATTTCCTCTAAGTGGTCGAATTGGCGTAGAGTTGTTTATAATGTTCCCTTATTATAGTTTACAATATGTGTTAAAAGCAGTAACTGATAGTACCCTACAAGCACAGTGAGTCTGATAAAATGGGGCAAATTTAACATTGCGTGTTGAAGGCTGGCTCGCAATTGTGAGTGCGTTTCTGGGGCTGCATGAGCGGTGTGATTTAGGGGGCCTATCAGAAGTAAGGCTCAGGCCCGTCCTGCAAACCCTGGTCTGTGCCCTTGCCCGCAGGAGTGTCCGAGCTCTCCGACGAGGACCGCGAGGACCTGGAGGGCAGGCTGAAGGCCCGGGAGGACCTGCTGCTGCCCATCTACCACCAGGTGGCAGCGCAGTTTGCCGACCTCCACGACACGCCCGGCAGGATGCTGGAGAAGGGTGTCATCTCTGTAAGAGCCTGTGGCTGCAGGGCAGAGTATGAATGACCCATCCTAAGGTCACCTGGGTTCCAGCGTGTGAATGCTGCATGTTAGAATCTCCTGGGGAGCTTTAAAAGATCGCAGTGCCCACGTGGCTCTCCAGACCAATTCAATCAGAGTATCTGGGGGTGGAAGCCAGGCATTGGTATTTTTTTTTTTAAATCCCTGAGGGATTCCAATAGGCAGCAAGGTTTGGGAACCACTGTCTAACCTCTGTGTTTATAACTGCTGGGCCAGATTTGGGAACCGTTGTTCCTGCCCTGCATTCACCCACCACTGACCGTCACAACCCCCACCCTGTGGTCCCATCCCCAAGAGGACATCCTCCAGGCACCTGGTGTCCCTGTGTCTGGTGCTCCCCGCAGCTGGCCTAGGCGCTCCATGCCTGTGGTAAGCCAGTCTAGAGTCCTGGAGAAGTCCTGGCTCTGCCACCTGCCCAGCAGGTGCCTCCACCTCCCTGAGCCTTAGCTTCCTGGCCTTGTAAAATGACCACAGAGCCTGCGCCCAGCGCAGAGCCCAGCTCCGGGCAGCGTCCTGCGTCTCCTCCCGCCCTTGCCGGGGGCTCAGCCCTGGGGCTTGTCTGCAGGACGTCCTGGAGTGGAAGAGTGCGCGCACCTTCCTGTACTGGCGTCTGCGCCGCCTCCTGCTGGAGGACCAGGTCAAGCAGGAGATCCTGCGCGCCAGCAGTGAGCTGAGCCACGTGCACATCCAGTCCATGCTGCGCCGCTGGTTTGTGGAGACGGAGGGGGCCGTCAAGGTGGGCCTGGGGCGCAGATGGGGCAGGTGGGTGCGTGGGGGCCATGGGGGGCCGGGGGCCAGCACGCCCAGCGGCGGGGTCCCGCTCTGAGGCAGCCCCGCCCCTCCCAGGCCTACCTGTGGGACAACAACCAGATGGTGGTGCAGTGGCTGGAGGAACACTGGCAGGTGGGCGATGGCCTGCGCTCCACCATCCGCGAGAACATCAAGTACCTCAAGCGAGACTCTGTCCTCAAGACCATCCGAGGGTGAGTAGCCGCCCCGCCCACCTGCTCATCCCCTGGACTTAGCGGCCTCCAGCCGCCTGACCCCAGAGCAGCCACTGCCATCCACCGTGCTGCCTGGTCCCCAGCCCAGCCCCCTGGCAAAGAGCCCACAATCCCCCCACACCCGGTCTCCAGCACAGAGCCCTGGGGATGCTAGGAGGGGGGGTGTGATGATTTCAATTCATGATCCTTTGGAATATGTTGGGTGACTTGTTCAAGGTCACAGCTAGAGTGTGTCTGGTTAGAGAACCCACATTCCCAACTACTCGGCCTCAGGCTGCTGGCTCCCCTCAGCAGCAGCCTTTCCAGAGGGTTTGCTCCCCCCTTCCTGGGGGGTCCCCTGTGAGGTAGATGGTGAGCATGTGGGACCCTATCTGGGGGGTGGAGCTGAGGTTCAGGGCAAGTACCGTGTCTCAGGTCACATAGCTAATGACCAGTAGGGTACGCTGTCGTTCTTCGAGGCGTTCTGATCCCTAGGCCATATTCCCTCCTGCCCCGTGGGACTGTCACCCCCATGGTGACCACAGCGGGAAGAGATTCAGAAGCTCTGGGTTGTTGCCCCGCCAGGAACGTGACATGGCCCTGCACAGGGTTTCTTGGGGCCACCCTAGGGCCCATTGAACCAGTGGCAGGAATGACCCCGGCCCTTCTCTCCCCTGCCCTATAGCCTGGTTCAGGAAAACCCCGAGGTGGCCGTGGACTGCATAGTATACATGAGCCAGCACATCAGCCCGGCTGAGCGGGCCCAAGTCGCTCACCTCCTGTCCACCATGGACGGCCCGGCCTCCACCTGACCCCGGCCCCCCGGCCACTCGCAGGACCACGGGCAAGAAGCTGACTGCTGGCCCCCACCAGGACCTTGGGATTTGCCTTTAAAAAAAATTCCTGGGCATTTCTGCAGGGCTGCTGCCCCCCACTCACTCCTGTCTCAATAAAATCTCAGGAGTGCCCCTTCAAGCAGAAAGAACCTCCTCCCCGTTGTTGGGAAGTTTGTTCCGTCTCTTCAGACAACATTTTTGCTGCATCACTGAATCAAATTGAACCCAAATACACCAGTTTCCTTTTTCTTTCCGGTGCCTGGTGTGCAGGATCCAGGTGTTCTTTTAAGTTCATTTTATATCAGATCATGAAGTCTTTTTTTTTTCTGGTGAGGAAGATTAGCCCTGAGCTAACATTCGTGGCCAATCTTCCTCTTTTTGCTGAGGAAGACTGGCCCTGTGGTAACATCTGTGCCCATCTTCCTCTACTTTATATGTGAGACGCCTGCCACAGCATGGCTTGATAAGCAGTGCGTAGGTCCACGCCTGGGATCCAAACCCACAAACCCCAGCCCACCAAAGCAGAGCGCATGAACTTAACCACTATGCCACTGGCTGGCCCCTTTAGTTTTTTTACTCTGAGACCAGGTCTTGATGTAAGCATCCTGTATATTTCAGCAGAAGAAACAGGCCAAGGAAAGAAATACAGAGACAAGAGGAGGAAAAAACCCTATTTTTGTAATGATGCTTATTCAGATGCTCCTGAGTCAGCCAGGAAAGAGTATGAATGGTTTTTTATTAAGAAATAAAATGGCATTTTGTTCTGCAAATGAATCTCTAGAGAATCACAGGAATGTCCCATTGGAAGGCCAGGCTTAGTGCTCATTAACAGAGATTGTCTTTTTGAGAACGGGAAAGCAAAATGAGCAGAATTGCCTGGCCCTAAGTTCCAGGGCATTTGGAGACTTCTTCGTGGCTCACAGCCCTCTGCCTGCCCCTTCCCTCTGAGCACAAGGACCAGCCACCACCCCCAGCGTCACCCTCCTGCCTGGGCTGGGAGTACAGAGTTCACCAAACTCATGGCCAAGCTCTTTCACGAGTGTCACCACTGTAATTGCCACCACCTCCCTTGGAGGGCTCTTTCGAGTCTCCGTCACTCCCTCACCTGTTGCCTTGATGACTGTGGCGGGATCCAGCCCAGAGGAGCAGAGCTGTTGGTTCCCAAAGACTGGACCACGAGGACCACGCCAATTTGCTCAGGGAGGCCCACCGGCACTCAGCTCTGAAGGCTGCACAGCATCAGGGCCTGCAATCCTCCTGGTCCCATCCATCAGTCCCCGGGTGATGGGGCGTGGTGGGGGGAGTGTGACGGCCACCACCACCCCCCCGCTGTGCTGGGCAGTTTGTCTGCAACACCAAACGTTACAACCTGGCCAATTTGGAGGCCAGCGAGGTTGCCCAGGGAAGCCCCACAAACCGGGATGCTCGAGGATGTTGAGTTAAAAAAAATAGTCTGGTCATGAGCCAGTGACAGGCTGTTGGGGGGAATCCATGCTCCTTTGGGAACCAAATGTTTTCCGTGTGTGGGAGGCCCCGTTGGGTTTGGAGGAAAAGACCAGTCGATGAGTAGCTGCTATCCAGGAATGGTGGGTGGAGGAACCTCCCTGGAGATGTGTGGAATAAACTATTTTTTAAAGGAAGCACTTTGGCCTTGACTTAATATCTGGACCAGAAAAGGCAGGCCGCCTCCGTGATGATTCCCCTGGAGCTCGCCCTCCTCTTGCAACAGCTAAGCTCTTGAGCAAGCCCCCATCTCAGGAGGACAGAGCTCTGATTTGAGGTCATATCTCGGAGGCCACAGGTGGACTCCTTAGTCTCTTCAGCTTGATTGCAAACATGGCCACAAGATGCTGTCTGCCGGCTGATGACGCTCAGGTCAGCCTGTTGGCAATCAGCTGAACATACCTTCCCTTACGAGGCCGACTTTCCCCCTCGAGGGACTTAGCACAGCTGCCTGCAGGGATGGGAGAAAAGATCAGACCGCTGAGTGTGGACAGAGGCCTTGATGAGCATCACCCTCAGGATGACGGCCGCTGGCTACGTGCAGTGCCCTGGCCTCACCCCATGCGATCCTCATGAGCCTTTGAGGTGCACGAGACACTCTGTCCTCATTTCTATAGACAAGAAAATCCCGGCTCAGAGATGAGCAGACCTGTCCAAGGTCACACCTGGTAAGGGGTGGGGCCAGGCACCTGGGCTGATGCAGATCCAATCTTGCTGTGCTCTGTGCCTTCCCCTAGATCCTGAACCTTTGAGAGGCTTTGTTATATCCTGAAATGTGAGAACACCGTCTGGCCCAGGCTCCACTCCCCGCTGCCCCGGCTAACTCAGCCCCGTCATCATCGGAACCTCATCAGGAACCTCTTCTGGCTTCTTGTGCCAGTCCGGGGCAGGGGGGACCAGAGCCCGCACCCCCCTCTCCTTTCACTAAAGGCTCTCCCTCCATGGATCGGCTGATTCTGGAGCCCCCCCAAACCATCCAGATGAACCCCGGGTCCTTGCACGTACAGCTTGTCCGCATCGTGAGTGTGAGGAGCTGCCGAAGTTGGCACCCTCTGCCAGAGTTGTCCCAACTTCTGCCCCTTTCTTGGGCCTCCCCACTTGATTCTCTTGCTCAGCTCCAAGTCAGTGGGCCGTTTTTTAATCTAGGGTCATTTTTGACTGACGCTTCATTAGGAAAATTTCCAAACACCGCGAAGTTGAATTGTTTGCAGCGAACACCCAACTACCCGCCCCTGGATGCCACCATTGACTTTCCTCGCCTGTGCTGTTACTGCCTGTCCCATCTGTCCATCCCTCTCTCAGCCTCTCAATCTGTCTTCTTATTTTGACACATTTCAGAGTCAACTGCAGACATTGGTACACCTCTCAGGGTTAATTTTGCATTTCAAAACAAGCTTTTTTCCTTCTTGAAGTCACTTCCTGAGTTTTTCTGCAGCCAAGAATGCGTGGAGAACAGAGCTGTGTTGAGATGAAGCGGCCAGCTGTGTGGCTAGTGAGGGAGTCTCCAGCCCCGTGGTGCACATGCCCCCAGCCAAGTACTTTCATCAACTACTTGTTGAGCAGGTACTGTGTGCCAAGCACTGTGGGAGGGGCACAGCCATGAGCAAGACAGCCCCCTCCTGCCCCCAGGAGCTGACATCTGGGGTCCCCAACAGGTGGAAATTGCAGGTTAACCATAAGGCGACCTTAGGGGTCATGACTAGTCAAACGGTGACTGTTAAATTCTCAGAGGCCCAGGGTCTTCGTATTTTAATATCCTGTGTCTTTCAGAGACAGGTCTACCGTTCAGGGTCACTGTGATAGGAATGGTATAGAACCAGGGGGAATGGAGATCACCCACACAGAGCACAGAAAGGCTCCCCAGTGACCCCTGTGCACAGGAAAGGGGTCTAGTGTGGGCAGAGACCCCTGCCCTCTTCTGGGCATTGCCCATGCAGCTATGCCCGAGCCACGCTGAGGCTCTGCCAATTGTCTACCCCCCATGACACATCCTCTGCTCTGCAGTCAGAGGATCTTCCCAAATGCCCCTTCCCTGCTCCAGGTGCCCCCAGGACAAAGTTCTCGCTCGATCTCATAAGGCCTAGCATGAGCCAGTCCCAGCCCCCACCTCCCTCCCTCCCTCCAAGTCAGTTATCATCACGCACCAGCCAGACCAACCTGTCAGTTCACCTCTCGCTCACCTCCAGGTGAGCACAGACTGTTTCTCCTGCCCAAAACACTCTTCCCCCTTTGTCTTTACCTGGCTGACTCCTACTCATCCCTCAAAACCCAACTCAAATGGTGCTTCCTCTGGGCAGCCTTCCCTGACCACCTCTCCAGTGGGTTGGGAGCCCCTCCTCTGTGGTCCCACAGCCCCTGTGCTCCACCTTTTGTGCGATATATGTGAAACATGAATTTTGAAGTGAAATATATACTAGGGATCCCTAGATCCCTCTGACTGCTGAGTCAAGGATGGATTTTGGAGAGCCATGTACTGACAGAGAGGTGGTCCCCTTCTGGAAGTTGAGGCGAGAGGCCACTTCCAGTGATGTTCTGTGTCTTGTGATATTCTGACCCATGTGGCATATCTCCAAGTGGCATCGTGTGTAGGAAACACAGGCCAAGAAGTAATTTTGTATTGTGGTAAAATATACATAACATTTACCATTTTAACCATTTTTAAGTGTACAGTTCAGTAACATTAAGTACATTCACATTGTTGTGCAACCATCACCACCATCCATCTCCAGAACTTTTTCATCACCTCAAACTGAAACTCTGTCCCCATGAAACACTAACTCCCCATTTGCCCTTCCCTCCCACCCCTGGCAACCATCTACTTTCTGTCTGCCTAGATTTGACTACTCTAGGGACCTCATATAAATGGTGGAATCATACAGTATTTGTCCTTTTCTGACTGGCTTATTTCACTTAGCATAATCTCCTCAAGGTTCCCCCATGTTGTAGCATGTGTCAGAATTTCTTCCTTTTTAAGGCTGAATAGCATTCCATTGAATGTTATTAGTCCACTGTCTTAGTCTGTTCCGGCTGCTGTAACAAAATATCACAGACTGGGCGGCTTATAAACAGCAGAAATTCATGGCTCACAGTTCTGGAGGCTGGAAGTCCCAGAGGAGCATGTGGGCATGTTCAGGGGAGGGCCGTCTTCTGGATCGAAGACCTCGCTGTGTCCTCACATGGCGGAAGGGGCAAGGGAGCTCTCTGGAATCTCTTTTATAACAGCACTAATCCCATTCGTGAGGGCTCCCCGCTCATGATGGAATCACCTCCCAAAGGCTGTCACATCTGGACTTCAACATATGAATTTTGGAGGGACGCAAACATTCCACAGCAACCACCTTTTGTTTATGTGTTCATCCATCAATGGACACTTGGGTTGCTTCCAGCTTTTGGCTATTGTGAATAATGCTGTGAACACGGGTGTACAAATATCTGAGTCCTTGCTTTCACTTCTTTGGGGTATATACCCAGACGTGGAACTGCTGAAATATATGGCAATTCTATGGTTAATTTTTTGAGGAGCTCGCATGCTGTTTTCCCCAGGTACTACACCATTTTACATCCCACCAGCAGCACATGAGGGTTCTGATTTCTCCACATCCTCGCCAACACTCCCTATTTTTTTGTTTTTGTTTTTTTTTTTTTCATGAGGAAGATCAGCCCTGAGCTAACATCCGTGCTAATCCTCCTCTTTTTGCTGAGGAAGACCGGCTCTGAGCTAACATCTATTGCCAATCCTCCTCCTTTTTTTCCCCAAAGCCCCAGTAGATAGTTGTATGTCATAGCTGCACATCCTTCTAGTTGCTGTATGTGGGACGCGGCCTCAGCATGGCCGGAGAAGCGGTGCATCAGTGCGCGCCCGGGATTCGAACCTGGGCCACCAGCAGCGGAGCGCGTGCACTTAACTGCTAAGCCATAGGGCCGGCCATTTTTGTTTGTTTTTATAGTAGCCCAACTAATGAGTGGAGCGTACAAGCAATTTTAACTCAGAAGTCGTTGAACCTTTTTACTTTTATCCCTCAAACATCATGGACAGGATATGCAGAGCCCACAGCGAGCCTTTCAATTCCCCATCCCTCCGTCTTTCATTTCCCTGACCACTCAGCTGTCCAGGCTGCCCTGCCTCCCTTCCTTCCGCCGGGGAGGTTGCCCACGTTTCAGCCACCAGTTTGGTCTTTGTCCTGCCACCCCTAGACTGGGAGCTGCGACTCCAGAAATGGAAGATCCAGCATCTGCCCCCAGAAAAACAGCGTCGGCCCATCGTCCAGCGGAGGCCATACCTGACTCCACCACCTCACCTACTCTGACCATACCTTTTATCCCTTTTCCTAAACCTCCACCAACTGTGCTTCAGGAGCAAACACCACGCCAGGCAGTGTGGTGCCGTGGAAGGGGCACCTGCAGACCTGGGGTTCAAACCCAGCTGTGTCACCCCGGAGAGATTGGCTCCTCTTTAAACCAGCAAACGAACGATGCAGCTGAGCCCTCTGAGATTGAAAAGACTGTGGGGAAGCAGGATGTCCTTAGAATCCCATCTCTACCCCTTACCAATTGCAGGTAAGCTACTCAGCCTTTCTGAGCCTCAGTTTCCTATTCTGTAAAATGGGGATGTGTCTGTTTTCTGTGGCTGCTGTAACAATTAGCACAAACTTAGCGACTTAAAAACAACACTAATTTGTTATCTTTTAGTTCTGGAGGTCAGAAGTCCAAAATGGGCCTCACTGGGCTAAAATCAGGTTGCCTGCAGGGCTGTGGTCCCTCTGGAGACTCTAGGGGAAAATCTCTCTTCTTGTCTCTTCCAGCTTCTAGAGGCCCCAGTGTATCCTCAGAGCTGACTCAGACCCTCCCGCCTCCCTCTTGTACTCCTGAGGATCCTGTGATTACATGGGGCCCACTGCATAATGCAGGGTGCCCTCGCTGTCTTAAGGGCAGCTGGTTAGCAACCTTAATTCCATCTGTTGCCTTAATTCCGCCTCCTGTAATGTAGTTACAGGTTCTGGAGATTGGGACACGGCCACCATTGGGGGCCATTATTCTGCCTACCACAGGGGACAATGACAGCTTTACCCATGGGGAATAAGTGGGATCAGCCATGTCCCGGTGCACGCAGCATGGAGTAAGCCCCCTTTACATGTTAGCGAGCGTCGTTACTATTTTTGTTGTTAGCGTGTGGATGATTTCTCATGGAGGGGAAGAAAAGCTGTACGACCACCATCTCTGAGCCTCCGTTTTCTCATCTGGGAAATGGGACCATCCCACTGACTGTGGGTGGTGGTTCTGTTTCAGGGAGGTGCTGCCTGACGAGTGTTGAACTCAGGGGGCACACGGCAGGTGCTCAGGTGGCGGCGATTTGTATCTGTCTCCCATTAGTTACCCAGCTCCAGAGAGAGCCTCAATGCAGCCTCCTTCCTCCCGTCTCTCCTTCCTGCTGCTTCTGGCATCAGCGTGGCCCCTGCACCTGTGGGGCCCTGGCTGTGACCAGAGCTGTCGCCTAGAGCTGTGACTCTGACCTTGGCATTTTTGCCTTGCGTCTCTGCATACCTGGCCCCAGTTGCCTGTGTCAGGAATGGCTGTCAGACTCATGTAGGGCACCCCAGCCCTCTCCATATGGTGACCCAGCTGCTCAGGCCTCATCCTCCTGGCTTAGCACCCCAGGAGGAGGGCACCTCTGTCCAGTAGCTTTTACAAAGTCCCCAGGGTGATGCTCGTTGGCTGTGACCAACATGGCCTGGGTCACTTGCCCCCCAACCCCAACCCATCACTGGGGGCAGCCAGGGGCTGTGATGGTCTTGTTGGCCAGGCATGGGCCCCAGGACCACCGTGGAGCCAAGCCAAGGAGGGGTTGCTGGGGAGAGAAAGGCAGCCTCTCCCTGCCGCCTGCCTGGTCTCCACTGACGTGGGGCCCATTCAGCTCTTCCCGATACCACCACAGCCCCAGCAGCCCCTACACCCCGCTCCTTGCTAATCGTCGCAGGTGCGTGAATCTGGTCTCCCCTGTGAGGCTGCAAGCCACTTCCTGGGTGGGCTTAAGAGTTAGTTTCTAATCAATAGACCCTTCTGCTGTTATCTTGGGTGGCAAGTCACCTGCTTTATTCCTCTGAGTCTCAGTTTCTTCATCTGCAAAATGGGTGTAATAACTAACTAGACACACCTCTTCGGGTTGTCACGAGGGTGGAATGAGCTAATTTACGGCAGTGACCCGTACAGCGTGCTGAAAAGGCTGTGTCTCCCTCCACCTTGTTGCCTTCTCGGACCCCAGGTGTGCACCACAGCGGCAGCCCGGAGCAGCGCGGCTGAGCCCGGCTCTGGAGTCTGGCAGACAGGGACTCAGTCTCACCTCTTCAGGTGACCCCGCGGCCTGCTCCACCTCTCTGAGCCTCCACTTTCTGAGGGTAAGCGGGGTTCACATCGCTGTCTGAGATAAGGCCTGCCAAGAGCCTCGCACTGAGCGACAGTAAACAGCAGCCGTGCTGATTTTATCGACAGGGACAAACTCCTCCCCGTTTCTGGCGCGATGGGAACCTGGCATCAGAAGACCCGGGTTCAGTGTTGCTGTGGTGTTGCCTCTCTGGGCCTCAGTTTCCCCGTCTGTAAACGGGGTCTGCCCTGTGAGGGGTGAGTGAGTGGTGTTCTCCTTTACCCCCTTCCCACCTCCCTCGGAGCCACAGAGCTGCGGTTCAGCCTTTATTGACAGAAGACAGTTATTCCACACTACGCTTACATAGTCTTGGGGTCGCCCGAATGCGGGGTCTGCATTAACACAACGCAAACGTCTGAACTCATCGGGGGTCACGTCACACGAAGCAGCTGCGCAGCCCCAGGCTGCGTCTAAAGATGGTGGATGCTGGGTGGAAAGTTCCAGAACTGAGAAGGGCTTAAAGATGGGCCTTCAAGACAGGCCTAAACACCCGGCCTCCCAGGTGGCTGACTGACCTGTTGATTAATCGGAAAATTCTGGCTCTGGGTTCGGGAACTCCCAGACACAGGGGCCAAGCATCCAGCTGGTGAAGAGGGGACGGTGGTGCCAGCCACTGCTGCAGGTGCTCAGTCTCGACTGAGCTGGAAGGCCCTATCTGCCTTCTCTCTCCCCCGACTCCCTCCCAACCCAGCTGTCTGCAGAACCTGCCACTTGGAAAGTCAGTAATTGGCAATGAGAGAAAAAAACATAAAAACGGTCATCGGGCAATGAAATAGGCCAATAAATACTCCGTGTTGCAGCTTCGTCAGCCCTGCTCGCTACGTGGGTCCAGCTTCCGTGGTTCAGTTTGCTTTCTTCCCATCGCGGGTGTCTCAAATTCCAGTACAAAAAGCCCCCACCATTCCCCGTAAGCCCGTCCCGATTCGCCCTTAGGAAGCTCCCTGAACCCCAAACTGTGGCACCTCCCCTCTCAGGGGCACGTGGCAAGAACAGTTAGAAAAATATCTGGTCTCTAATTTTAAAAAAGGAAATTTCGTAGCATCAAAATACTTGTTTGTTCTAAACAGCAGCCCAAGGCTGCAGAGGGATTAAGAGCCAGTTGGGGACGTGATGCACAGATAACTGAGGCGTGAGGATTGCCGGGACGCGGGGCGGGACCAGGGAGTCGCATTCCCGGCGGGCTGGTTTGAAGAGGTGGTGTGGACGGGTTCCAATAAATATAGATACGCGTGCACGGGGCCCCCGTGCCCAGCACGGCCCAGGGATCTGCGCTGTGAAGTTCTAACTACAGGCTACAGGAGGAGCGCGCCTGCAGGCCGGCGGCACGGGCGCGCAGTGCCGAGTGCAGCCTCCCGGGTCCAGGAGGAGGTCGACAGTCTGCGGGCTCCGCTCCCGGCCTTGGGGTCTGTCGGCCGGAGGCTGAGGCGGATGCTGTGTCCCAGAATAATCAGTTACAGAGCCTCTGCCAGGGCGTTTCCGTGGCTCAGCAGTGCGTCCCCGAGCGGGCGGCAGGTCCGTGAGGGGCCCAGCGGGGAAGCAGGCTGGAGGCACCTTGTGATCAGCCAGGCCAGGCCTCACCTCTGGGGTCTCAGGGGGCAGAGGGGGAGGCCGGGGTGCGTGTCCACTCTCCTCTGCCCTTCTTACTTGGGGAGGCCTCCTGCGGAGGTGTGAGAGGGCCAGGGGGTGCCAAGGGGAACTGCTCCTCTGTCCAGCCGGCAGCCCCACCGCAGGTTCAGGGGCCTGTGGGGGGGTGAGGGGCCTTTCTTCCAGAACAGCCGGCTCGGTCAGCCCGGGCCCAGGCTCCGGGGCAGGTGAGGCCGTCAGCTCAAAGCAGGGCTATGGGCTTGTTCCCCGGGGCGCCCAGGTACTGGGAGGAGGCGGCGGCAGCTGACGCGGCCACGCTGTCCGGAGTCGAGTACGTGGCGTAGAGACCCGTTACCTGCAAGTCTGGGATGGACTGGCTGCTGCCACCAGAGACGGGGGTCAGGCCAGAGGGCCCCAGCTCACAGCCGAGTGGGGAGTCTCCGAAGGCCCCCAGCGTGTCCAGGCTGAAGCCCTCGTCCTTCATCTCGTCCCAGAGGCTCCCTATCCAAGACAGAGCATCTGGGTGAGCCGGCTTCCGGTCAGACAGACTCAGTCCCCGTCTTAGGGAAGAGGCGAGGACCACGGGCGGGGTTGAAGGTCACGTGCTGGCGGAGAAGGGCATGAGGAGCCACAGAGCGAGCCTCGGCCCTCCCCTCCCACTGGGTGTCCTTGGAATGTCGCTTCCATCTCGTTGGATCATTGGAATGAAATAGAGATGATCAGAGAAGGCACCCAGGGATGAACCAAGGAGATGTGTGGAAAGCACTTAGCCCTCATTAAGGGGCACATGAGGGTCAAAGCCAGAGGGACAATGATCCCCCATTCCTCATGGCAGATTAATTACCAACAATCCGGGGGGAGGCAGGAAAGGTCAACACACCCATTTCACAGCTATAACTAACTTACTAACTTGCTGACTGACTAACCTGCTAACTAGTCCAGTTCCCTCGCCAGACATGGAACTCCTGAGGGCAGAGGATGTCTCAGCCTCTGGCTGGCACACAGTAGGTGCACCAGTGTTGGTGACTGAATCAGGAGCTTCACTGAAACTCGAACTTCCCTTGTTCCTTCCTCCCTCCCTCCCTCCTTCCCTCCTTCCCTCCTTCCCTCCTTCCTTCCCTTCCTCCCTCCTTCCCTCCCCGTGTATTGAGACTGACCGTGTGACAGGCCGCGGGTCAGAGCGTGGCCTGGCGTGAGGGGGGCACGTGCAAGTGGACGCTGTTACCAACTGAATGTTTGGGGTCAGACAGACCTGGGTTGAAATCCTGGCTCTGCCACTTACTAGCTGGGTCACCCCAGGCCAGTGACTTCCCTTCTCTTTGCCTCAGTTTCCTCATGGTCAGAATGGGGACATGAAATGGCACTGGCCTCAGAGGACTGTTGCAGGGTGAGATGAGATGATGCCTATGAAGTGCTTGGCATGGAGCCTGGTATGCAGTAGGTGCTCATTAAATGCTTGGTGTGATTCGCTATTATTAGGTGGTTGAAGGCATGAGCTGTGGGGGAAATGCACAGTCCTCCTCTCCCTTATGCTCCCCTGTCTTTCTGGCCCCCGGCTTCTCTCTCCCCTTCTCCCTCCCCCTTCACGTCACCCCGTTCCTCCAGCCTCACCCTGCAGAGCGAAGTCCATGATGCTGGGATCCAGGGCGTCCACCTCGGTGTTCATGTCGGTGCTGATGTTGATGAAGTCCACGGGACCCCTTCCCACGGTGGGGTGCGGGCGAGGGCTGGGGCTCAGGGCCGGCAGGGCATGCAGGGGTGGGGTCTGGGCCGGGGCAGGAGAGTCTGGGGCGAGCTGTGCTTGGGGCTGGACGTGGTGGTGCAGGGGGCCTGACTGCAGGGACAGGGTCATCAGTGGCTGGGGCGGGAGCCGGGAGACAGCCAGGCAGCCGTGGGCCATGGCCACCGTGGTGGCATGGGTCAGCACAGGGGCCTCAGGCTCCCCCGGTTTGCCAGGGCGTCGGCAGCTTTCCGGCCGGTCTGAGATCAGCTTGTCTAGCTCCTCTGCAGGCAAGTGGGAGAGGTCACTCAGAAGCCACCCTGCAGTTCCAGGGCCCCAACCCAGGCCTGGGCTCAAATCCCAGCATTATCACCTGTGTGACCTTAGCAAGCCTCTTGGACTCTCTGAACCTCAATCTCTTCATCTATGGAATAGCGTCATACACTCTGCACCGGGTTGTTGTGGAAATGTAATGAAATCACAAGTTGTGTAGGGGCTTTGGGGAAGGAGAGGAGCTTCAGCTAATAACATTAGTTCCTCTTGTTGGAACAGTGCCTTATAGGACAGCACAGTCATGCACCACATAACAACATTTTGGACAATGATGGACTGCATATGCGAGGGTGGTCCCGTAAGGTTAGTACCGTATAGCCCAGGTGTGTAGTAGGCTATACCATCTAGATTTGTGTAAGTACACACTAAGATGTGCACACAACGATGAAATCGCCGAACAGTGCATTTCTCAGAACGTATCCCCACCATTAAGTGACATGTGACTATACTGTAACTGTAGGGCTGCACTTGAACCTCAGAACAGCCCTGCAAGAGGGACCTGTGTCGGGGGCTGCAAATCTCGTGAGACTGGGACCAAATTTAACATGCAAGGGGTCCTAGCTGCTCCCCACTACTAAAGAGGCATTAAGAAGTGTTACTGTGGGTTAAAAATTGAATTTCCTTAATGCTCTTGGATAGAAACGAGACTGAAATTACTCTTAAATTATTTTTGGTTGTTGGCTTGCGTCTCATTGAATGTAACACAGTTTTGAGACTGGACCACTACGGTCCCAAGGTCTATGTGGGTTACACTCATTTTAGAAACAAGGACACTTAGAATCTAGAAGGTGAAATGGCCTGCCCAAGATCTCACACTAAATGTGTGTCAGGCCTGGCCCTGGGCCTCAAGCCAGCCCCCAGGGCTCTCTGTGGGGTGGGCGTCATGTGGTCCCCCCAGTTGAGAGCCTGTTGGGCCCTGCTGTGGTCCTTCTGCCGACTTATCGAATTGTTCATCTCTGAGCTGTACTCCCATCCCCCTTCATGCCTGAATCTTAAGCATGGTGGTGTCCACAGGGCCACACAGTCCATTTCACATTCTCCATTCCTATGTCCCTGGTATGCCCTCCCCTTCACATCTCTTAATTTTTTTAAAAAAGCAGAGGCAATATTTTTTTTCTAATTACAAAAGTGATTCATGAACAGGGTAGAAGATTTGGAAAATACAGAAATATGTGAAGAACAGAACAGTTATCAGTGGTCTCTCCATGTACAGTAAAGATTTTGGTATATTTCTTCCAGTTTCTCTCTCTCTCTCTGTTTCTCTGTCTCTCTCTCTCTATATATATATATAGTTATTTACATACATGTATATATGTGTTATATATGTATATACATATACACACGTGTATACAGATAAAACACATACATACATATATATAAATGGGTGTGGACAGAGATGCTTTTTAAAACGTGATCATGTGGTGTATATTAATTCATAACCTGTCTTTTCACTTATTGTATTAGGAACATTTCTTTATATTCCAAAAATATTTTTCTAATACTGGGATAGTATGACATTATGTCTATTTAATCCCCTATTGTGGGATGTATAGACTGCTTTCAGTTTTTTACTCTTAGAAATAATTTTGTGATGGATAACTCTTCATAAACCTTTTGCTCAAATCTTTGATTTCCTCAGCATAAACTGCCAGAAGTAGAATAACGGGAGCAATAAATGGGTACAGTTTGCAGGGTTTTGGTATATTCCTTTGCCCTGGAAAACTTGAACAAGTTACATCCCCACCAATTGTATACGAAGGGGCCTATTTCTCCACTTCCTAGCCTACACTGGGTGTTATCATTTTATTATTTTTTAAAATCTCTGCCAGTGTGGTGGGAAAGGTAAGGAAGCAGTGCGATCGCGTGGTTGTTCAGTTCAGCATTGCTGTGTGAGAAACCAGGGTTTGCTAGTGAGATTCCCGGCTTTTCCTGTGTTTCTGACCAGGCCCAGCCACTAGGGAGGAGTGGGGGGTGTGTTTCACAGGAGGGAGGGAGGGGGTTCACCGGGTGCGCGCCCGTGCCCCACCGTCGTGGCTGTGCGGTGCGTGTTGGCGCGGGCCCGGGCCTCACCCGGGTTGGCCATGCTCCGGTGGATAGCGGCCAGGTCCTTCCTCTTCCACTTGTGCATCTCCTCCTCCATCTTGTCGATGCGGGCCAGGTTCAGGGCCCACAGGCAGCCCTTGCGCGACGAGCCGCCCATCTTGTTCTCCACCTTCTCAAAGCACTTGTTCAGCGACAGGTTGTGCCGGACCGAGTTCTTCCAGCCATCGGGAGCCGTCTGTGGGGAGACGTGGGCACACAGCAGACCCCTTCAGACGCCTCCCCATAAACCCTTCCTCTCCAGGGGGATCACAAACTCAGGGGGGTGGGACGCAATGGTGGCCGGGGTAACATCACAGTGTCCAACACTCGACCTCGAGGTGGGAAGACAAGAGAGAGTGGTGGGGACTGTGGCAAACTGAAGGGCCCAGGCCCTCCTTAAAGGGGTGGCTGCACTTTAGCTCCAGCCAACAGTTACTATACGAGGACGAGGCCCAGGGCTGTAGGGTCTTCCACTCCTTCTCCGCCACTCAGGGAGTAAGCAAGTGAGATGATGCTAAAACATGGATAACCGGTCACGTGTATTAAATGCCAATCATTGTTAAATGCCCTTTTACTTTATTATTATCTAATCAGATATTACACTGCACCTGATACCTTACACACACACAGTGCTGCAGTATTTCTGCTAAGGACACCGTCCAGGCCAGGGACCCCAAAGCTTGGTACCCTCTCACCTCCTGCTCCTTTTTTTTGCTTTGATGCCAACAAGGATAACATTACTAATGGCCAACCATGTGCCAGGAGCTGCCAGGCCCTTTACATACAGAATCCTCACTAACCTTGCTAGCTGGGTATTATTCTCCCCATCTTACAGATGAGGAAACTGAGGCTCAGAGAGGCAAAGGCTCTCACCAGGTCTGTGTTTTGGATTATTATGTTTTACATAGTCTGTGTTGAATAACTGGGTTGGCCTTTCTACCTTTTGCCCCCAGGATGCCTGGTGAACTCCTCTTCATCCGTCAGAGCCCAGCTCAAATGCCCCCTTTCTGAGTTTCTTTGCCCTTGTCTGTGTGAGGCACATGTGAAGGTGTCTATGGACATAACTGGGGACCCAAAAGGATGGCCCAGTTTGGCCTGGAGCCAGTCCTGGGCTCTGGCAGTGCCAGGGAGAGGCCAGAGTAGCTCCAGCACCCCTCCCCTGGGCTGGGGCCCCTCACCTTGAAGTAGGGGAAGTGCTCCTTCATGAAGCTGTAGATCTCACTCACAGGCAGGCTGCCCGTCTTGCTGTTCTTCAGGGCCATGGCGATCAGACAGCTGGAGTCAGAAGGTGGGGCGGGCCCGGCGTGAAGGCATCTCAGGCTGACAGCCCAAGGTCCCCTCTGCCAGGAAGCCTGCCCTGGTTGACCCTACAGGTACCAGCGTCTGCATACTCACAGTGTTAGTGCTGGATACCTTTCCATGGCCCCGCCCTTCTCCTTGACCCTGAACTCAGCCCTTGGGACTGACTTGAGAAGGCTTGTCTTTATCCCCTCCCCATAATGAACTCCCATGGGCCTGTAGACTCTCCCTGGGCTGCTTCCCTCTCCCAGACTCCCGTGAGGTACACGATACTATCGTTTTGATGACTTTTTCTATCAGAGGGAACTTAGGCTCAGAGGGGCCAAGCCACTTTCCCAAGGCCTCACAGCTTGTGAGTGACGGAGTGGGGCACTGGGCTCAGTGTCTGGAGTGGCTGCTCAACCCTGGGGCTCACGGACCACGTGATGCTCCTTCCTGAGACCAGGCCCCCCTGGGGGCTCCCCACTCCCCACGCCTCCCGGTTGGGAGTCTGGGCCACCACACCTGGCTGTCTGAGACGCCCTGAGGGCCGCCCTCACCTCCTCCCCGAGCCCCCACGGCCCGCTCGCCCCGACCTCACCTGTATGAGTAGATGGGCTTGGGGTAGTGTTTGGGGTGCAGTTCCTGAGATGAATGCATGGCCATGCGGGGCTGGGGGTAGGGAGGCCGTGCCCCAAACGGGGGGCCATACAGGCCCACGGGAGGGTACTTCCCACAGGCAGGGACAGGGGAAGGTGGCAGAGAGAGAGAGAAGGTGAGACAGAGCGTGAGTCACTCACAATAACCCCACCCCAGCCCTGTCTCCGAAAGCGAGATGTGGGGTTTACAACCCCAGGAGACAACCTAGTCTCCTCCCACTGCAGGGTGTGGGGAGACTGAGTATACGACCCCATGCCGTGGGTATGGTGGGGAATGTTATGGCCATGTTCCAGGTGAGTAAACTGAAGCTCAGAGAGGTCCCTGGCCAGCCCAAGCCAGGGGTGTCTGCCTCTGAGTCCTGGGCCCCTCTGAGCCCCCGGTACCTGCTGGGTGCCTGGGGGGCGCAGGAACTGTTGGGAGGTGGGAGAGTACAGCTGTGGCGGGTCCTGCAGACCAGATGAGGGCTGTCCCCCCACAGGGAACTGGCTCATCTGCTGGGTCCAGGAGAGGAGGAGACAGAGGGTCAGGGTGGGGGGGCACCCCAGCCTCGGGGACACCCCTCTTGCTCCTGACCCGTGTGGTGGCACTTACGTTGGCTCCGTGGCTGGCCGTGGGCCCCAAACCCAGCACACCTTGGGGAGTCATGCCAGCCGGGCCGTGGAGCAGGGGACCTGGGGTGGCTCCCACGTGCAGGTCCACTGCCCCAGCCAAGGCACCTGCAAGAGGGAAGCACAGAGATGCCGCTGGGCTGGAGGAACGGTGGCCGCAGGCGGGGACAGCCCAGTCCCTGGGCACCTCCAGAGAATGGAACATTCCCCACCGTTGGCGCCAGGCGCATAGTAGGTGCTTGGCACGTCATCTCCCTGCCGTGTCATGGTGGAGAGTGGGTTCCTACCAGCTGTGTAACCTTGAGCCATCCTCAGTTTCCCCATCTGTACAGTGGGGCTGCTGATATTACCTACCTATGAAGTTCTTGTGAGGGTTAGGTGGGATATGTCTGTAAAGTGCTTAGCACACTGCTTGGCACGTGATAATATCTCAATAAATAGGAGTCACTAATAAATCATCGTGATGATCTAATTAGTACTTCGGTCCCTGTCCCTCATGAAGCTAGAACACGGAGTCATTGTTCACCTCTCCTCCTCAAACACATGCCTTGTTCCCCAGAGCCTCTAGGCTTAGGTCCAAATGCCTTTGTGCCTCGTCTCCCCTTTGCCAAGCCCTGCTCCTCTGCTGAGGACTAGCTCAGGATAGCAAATGTACACACACACCCCATCCAGTGCTGGGCCTGTGACAGACGTTGCTAATCTATCTCAGATTCTCCCTGCGCGAGGCTGATTTTAGGGAGCCACCTCCAATCCAGCAAAGTTGACCTACAAGATGAGCCTGCCCTGGGGCCCTCTTGTCCAAGAAACCTTTTGGGTCCCTCAGCTTTCTTCTGAGTTCTGGCTGCCACCTGGGTTCATCGTTTGTGCCTTGTCTGTTTGCCTTGTCCTCTCTGACCAGACCTTCAGCTCCCTGACAACTGGGACAGCATCTTATGTGACTCAGTGCTCCAAACCCCCAGCATAGTGACAGGCACACAGGAGGTGTGCAGTGACTCAGTGGAGAAGGAGGCGGCTTCCTTATTTCACAGTTATCATTTATTGAACACCTACTGTGTGCAGGGTGCTTTCTGCATTGAATGCTCACAACACCTCATGAGGGCAGTTCTTTTATCGTTTTATCACAGATGAAGAAACAGGTCTGCGGGGAAAGCACGGGTCCAAATTCACACAGCTGTCCCCTGGGGGTTCTAGATCAGAGGTTGATAAACTATGGCCAGCTGGCCAAATCTGGCCCACGGCCCGTGTCTGTAAATAAAGCTGTATGGGCACACAGCCGCATCTATGCGTTTACATATTGTCTGTGCCTGGTTTTGCACTGCAGTGGCCGAGTAGTTTCAAAAGAGACTGCATCGGCTCAATTATTTCCTACCTGTCCCTTTACAGAAAAGTTTGCTAACCTCTGCTATAGATGCTTTGACCAAGAACAGTTTGTCCAATGAAAGAAATGTTCCTAGACACTAATTTTTCAACCACTGGTACTTTTAATGTACTGCGATGACTGTTTTTGTTGATTGTTTTTCTTCAAGGCTTTGTGTGTCTCTAGGCATTTAATCCACTTGCTATAACTGCAACTAGCTGCTGTTTATTGAGCACCTACTGTGTACTGGCCCTGTGCTTGGCACTTTCCACGTATTCTCTCTTTGAATCTCTAGATCAGGGGTCAGTAAACTTCTGTAAAGGGCCAGATGCCAAATATTTTAGGCTTTGCCAGCCACGTGGTCTCTGTCATCTTTGTTTTTTTACAACCCTTCACAAATGTAAAAACCATTCTGAACACAAACGCTGTACACATACAGGCCCCAGGCTGTATCTGGCCCTGGGCCGTAGTTTGCTGACTGCTCTAGATGTTCAGGGTGTCCCAGGGTAGGGGCAGGTCTGTCTGTTCTTCACTGAAACCTGAGTTCACACAGGGCCTGGCACACAGTGGTGAGCAGATGAATGAACCACATCCCTTGGAGGAAGGTAGAATTAGTCACATTAACAGATGCAGAAACAGGCCGAGAGAGAGACAGAGACAGAATGACCTGGCCACAGCCACACAGCGGGTAGGGGGCAGTGCTGGATGTCGCCCCTCCCCTGCACCACCCTCCCACCGCCCCACCTTGCCCCTGAGCCTACCTGGGTGTGGGTGTGGCACACCGGGGCTGCCCAGGTCCACGCGGGCACTCGCCATCTGCTGCAGCCGTGGCACGTCCACGGCCGTGAGCCACGACAGTGACTGCAGGTCCCCAGGAAGGTCATCCTCGCCGGTGGTGGCCAGGAGCCTGCAGGGAGGGGCAGGGGCTCGGGCGGGGAGCTCAGTCCAGCTCCTAGGGGGCTCCCCTACCCCTGGAATCACCCCTTTGCCCCTCACCTCCCCAGGCCACCCTCGCCCTCCAATCTGCCCCTCCCCAGGGCTGCACACGGGAGCCTGGTTCCAGGATCCCCATTTGGCAGCCAAATTGCTCATCCTCAGATCATCCTTCACTCGCTCATTTCACACAGCTCACTTAGCCCACCCAGAATAATCAACCCTGATGTTTGTGGAGCATTTACTGTGTGCCAGGCGCCCTGTGAAGTCTTCACAGGAATTAACCCAGTTAACACTCCCAGTCACCCCAGGAGGCAGGTAGTATTATTATTCCCTGTTTACAGATGGGGAAACTGAGGCTCAGAGCGCTGAGCCACTTGCCCAAGGACACACAGAGCAGGAAGTGGTGGGTCTGGAGCCCAGGCAGTGTGGCCTGAAGCCCGAGCCCTTCGCCACGACCCCAGGCAGCCCCTGGGGCTCCAGATAGGACCCACGCCCACCACCCCTCAGCAGATTCATGAGCAGAGACATCGCCTTCCACGGGGGGACAAAGGCTGCCCATCAAGGATACCAGACAGGGACCCCGATTTGGGGTCACCATGACTCCCTGGCCCCCTGAAGTCAGCTCTCCACATGGCTCTGAGGGCCCTGGGCCCCACAGCAGCCTCTTGTTACAACGTGGCTGCAGACCGGCCAGGAGCCCACGCCAGACCCCACTGCATCTGCCATCCCACAGGCCGGGGCGTTCTGGTTTGTGGCCCAGAGGTCCATGGTCCAAATTCTAAGGTCCAAGTTTCAAAACTGGGGGGTCTCGGGGCCTCATGGAAGGGGCGAGAGAGAGGACGAATGCAGCCTCTGGTTTCCTATGCATCTGACGGCGGATCCAGCGAGGCCCTAGCCTCTGCCCTCCTCCTGCCGTCTGCGTGGCCGCCTCAAGCTGCTGTCCCCTCTCCCCGTCTCTCTCTCCCTGTCTCTCTCTCCCCGTCTCTCTTCCCCCTCCGTCCCATCTCTCCTGCTCTCTTTCCTTCCCTTTTAGGGCCACGGTCAGCGTTGCCATGGCCACCACTGCTCAGTTGTCGCCAGGCCTGGGCCCTCAGCCACCAAGCTGGCATCAGGTGACTGCCCGGCTGTCCCGGGGATTGGCTGCCTCGTGGGAAAACAGGGCCTGGAAATGATTTGAAAACTCGGCCAGCCCATGTCAGTGGTAGCAGTTGGCCCGGCTGCTGTCCCCCCATGGCCCATTGTGTGACAAACGACTGTTGCCCCTGTGGCACGTGGCACCCATTGTCCTGGGTCTCCATGCTGCCACCGCTTCAGCCCGCTTGTAACTCATCTGGCCGAGCGACAGCTGTGGTCCAGGCCTGGGTGATGCCATCTGTTCCCTCAGGCCCAAGGAGAGCACGGAGTGATGCCGAGGGGCAGGGCCTGGTGTGCCACCTGCAGTCACGGGTACCTGGACGGCCCCCACCCACCCCTCCTCACCCCATGGCCGGCCAACCTCCCAGCGCCTGGTGCTGTGAGTCCCACTCCTGCTCAGTAACCTGCTGTAGATCCCCAGCACCCTTGTCACTCTGCCTGGTGCTGGGGCTGTAGGGAGGAGTGGAGGTGAGCCTCTGCTGGCTGGTTTCTCAGGGCAGGGGGCCCACTAGAGCCCCCTGAGTGGTGGTGGGGCTTGTAAACAAACCAAATTCCTGGGCACCATCATGGAGCAGAATCTCAGGCGGCGGGTGAATCTGATAGGCAGTCCACGTTGTGGTTAAGAGCTTGGGCTCTGGGTTCTAATCCTGGTTTCCACTTACCTGTGTGCCCTTGGGCCACTAACTTAACCTCTCTGGGCCTCGGTTTTTCATCTGCACATGGGGATGATAATGGTTCCTAGCTCATAGAGTGTGGTGAGGATTAAATGTGTTATTGCAGGTAGAGACTCAGAGGAGTGTCTGACTTCGCTGTCGTCAATGTTAATACCAATATTAATGTTAAGGGTAATATTAGCCAGGCCCTCAGAGAACTGGAAGTACCTCGAAGCTTTGGGCTCTGGGGTCGCACAGACCAGCCTCTGCAGCTGCTCCCACTGGCGACTTCCATTTATTGAGCACTTCTCCCATGCCAGACCCTGGGCTACCTGCTATCTCCACTGTACAGATAGGGAAACTGAGACCCTCAGCTGTCACTCAAGTGCTCCAGACCTGGTTGCCTGCAGAGCGAGGGTCACACTTGTACCTGCCTAGCACGAGGCAGAGTGCACAGGAGGGGCTGTGTATATGGGCCTCCCCTGACTGGTTTATTATTACTTTTTCCTGCTGTTTCTGAGCCCCGCCTGCCCCCCATTCCTGCCCCCCACTCATGTGAGGAGCAGCGGCCGACTGCAGCCGCCGGGGTCTGTCCCGCTCCGGCACACGCGAGCCCCGGCCCGCTCCCATGCCTTGGCACCAGCCAGTCCCCCGCTAGGAATGCCCTTTTGGCTTTTCCTCCCCTCCGCCCAAACTGTGCCCATCCCTGGAGGCTCACTTCTGTCTTCTGGCCTCTTAATGCCCACGTCCCCTCAGACATCACCTGACACCCCCCCATTTTACCCATGGGGAAACTGAGGCAGAGAGAGGAGAAGCAGTTTGCTCCCAGTTTCATAGTCCGGAAAAGGGCCAGGGCTGGGGCTCCTTCCAGCCCCAGAGCGGCTCCTCCTCCGGGAAGTTTTTGCCACCCAGGGATGCCCGCTGCGTCCTGACTGCTCCCTGTACCTCCCCAGGGCCAGCGAGTCCTACATAGCCATCTCTCCGTCCTCTCTCAGCCTCTTGAGCTGGCGCTGAGCCCCGTGTCACTCTGCATCCCTGCACACAGTGGTGCCACTTAAATGCCTGCTGGGCTGCTTGAGACAGGCTGACCCCAGGCCACCAAGCCGGAGAACGGCATGACAATGACTGTCGTGCCCAACACTTTTAGTGCTTACAGAGCCATCCTCTGCCTCTGAGTCCTTGCGACAGCCTCAGGACAGGGACAGGGAGCAGGCGGCCCACTGTACAGATGGGGAAGCTGAGGCCAGATCGGTGAAAGCAAAACCATGACCAGAATCATCTCCCAGGAGCTGGTTCCAATGCAGAGTCCAAGACACAGCCCAGACCCTGGAGTCCCACCCGTGGGCTGCGGCCTGAAGCTGTATTTTAGTGCCTCCCAGCAAGGCTCTGGGGGAAGGGCAGCCCCAGGAGGTGTGGCAGGGGTGTGGCCCCAGCTCAGGCCTTGACTGGACGGATCTGGGTGCAAGTCCTTGCGACCCCCTAGCTGCGACCTTGGATAAGTCACTTCAGGTCCCTGAGCCCCCATTTTCTCATCTGGAAAATGGGAGAATAACCGTCCATATATCCCTGGTGTCAGGATCAAGTGAGCTGGTGTGTATTCAACTTTGGGCACGCGCCTGGCCCCCGTTCACTCTCCTCGGGGTCTGCTGCTCATTCTGGGGGTCGGCGGCCAGGGCCTGCTCCCCCTGCTGCCCCGGGCATCCCAGAGGTGGTCTGGTCCTCCCTGCCCGTGCCAGAGTATGCCTCAGTGTGCCTGACCCGTGGCCCCTGCCCCGCCCGCTGCTCTCCGGAGGTGGATGTGGAGGCTCAGGAGCTCCGCAGGGGGCGTCTGCTAGCCCCACAGCATGGCTCCTTCCCGCGCCTAACAGGGTCGTCTGGCATCCAGGCACCTCTTCACCAGGCGTGACAGGGACCAGGAGGTGACACGCCAGGGCTAACTGGGAGTGTCGCATCCCCCCTGCCCAGCCTGGGCCCTTGCCCATCTCTGTCCCCTTCTCCTCCGCCCCCTACAAAGAGGCGCATCAGGGCAGCCCCCTCTCCATATGTGGGTGGGATGTGAAGGCCCCCAGTGCCTGGCGTTCCCTCCTTAAAGATGCCCTGGGGACCCCATTCATTCTCCCCTGGCGCTGCCTTTCAGATGGTGTAAACCACAGGGCCCATGGCAGCTGTGACATGGGAAAGACTTCTTTGTTCCCAGCCAGACCCTCGGATTCCCAGCCTCGGTTTCCCCTCTGTAAAATGGACACAGATGATAATAATAGCAGCAACACCTGTACCCCCCAGGGCTGGCATGCTGGTGGGGAGGTGAAGTGGCTTTGTGAAGCATCCTGCCATCTGCTGGGTTTGAGATGACTCCCCACTGTGCAGGTGTGTGTGTGACCCTGTGTCAGTCTCCTGAGTGGGTGTCTCCTCTACTGGAAAATGACAGGACATTTGCAATTCAAAGGAAAAGGCAAAAAGCAGCCCCACTGCCCTGGTGTCTCCCAAGACCTGTCCTGCTCTCTCTCTCTGGGCCCATCTCCTGTCTCTGGGTGAGGAGGAAATCCAGCCCCTCCTCAGCCGGGTCACCGTGTCGCTGGTGCCTGCCCGCCTGGCGTCACCTCCAGAGGAGGCGACAAGAAGAATCAAACTTCCGAGACCCAGCTCCTCTGTCCACTCCCTCCACCCTTTCCCCAGTCCCCATGTCACCCATCTCCCTCTGTCCTAACTCTCCTGTTCTGTGTCTCTCTTCCTCTCTTCCTCTCTGTGCCTCTGTGAATGTTCTGTGCTTCTCTCTCTGTGTGAGTCTCTCTGTCCCTCTGTCACTGTGACCGAGGGGCCCTGTGATGAAGTCCTGGCCCCACTCTTTCTGTTTGGGGACATCCCATGTGCTTCCAAACCTTCCTGAGCCTCCGTTTCCTCCTCTGCAGAATGGGGGTAACAACAGCAGAGGCAGAGCCGCCACAGGAGGCTCCTATAAATATCCCCCTCTCCTCCTCCCCTTCTCTCTCTGATGTGGCATCCAGGGCCACAATCTCCCACAGGTCCGTCTCCATCCACACACTCAGCAGTCCTGTGTCCCCACCACCAGGGCTGCCCAGAGCCACTGAGTCAGGCTTTCTGGGGAGGAGACTGGGGTCCTGCAGTTAACACATCCCCCACCCCAGGTGGTTCCTACACACCTGGTGCTGGGAGTGTGGCCCCC